TTGCGCAACCTTTTTCATTTTGTGGGATCGGGCTCCCATTATGAACTTATGTAAACTTGTTGGTTGGGAGTTGGAGACTTGTGCAGCTTTTCCATTGGGAACCGGCGAGTTGCGCAAGCTCCTGCGTTTTGTCGGGACGGGCTCGGCTTTGAATGTGTGCAACCTTTCTGGTTGAAAACTGGCGGCTTGTGAAACTCATCTGATTGGGAACAAATGAATTGTGCAACCTTTTTCGTTTTGTCGACGTGGGCTCGAGTTTCGAACTTGTGCAACCTTTTTGGTTGACAATTTGCGACTTGCGCAGCTTTCTGATTGGGAACCGACGAGATATACAGCTTTTTCGATGCTGCGCACCACCTCGACAAACTCACAAGGAGCGGCAGGTGATGCGCCGCCGGCGTCCTCGATATCAGGAGGAGAAAAGAAAGAGGGAGTGGTGAGAACCTGCGCGATCGGCCCAAAAGTCGTCTGCCGTGGCGCCCGGTAACTAGGGCACGGGCCAGAGCAGCGAGTCGACTCAAAGGCGACGCTTTGCGCGCTCGTTCTGTACACGGCGCTGGGGGCCTCTAGCCCCGCAGCTGCCGCCCCTCTATGTTACTAGCGGCCTTCTCCCCATCCCGACACCTGGCAGACATTGGTGCCCATCCCTCGTTCTCGCCTCTTGTGGCCTCCTGGGCAGCCCGCGTCGCCATGGCGAGCCAGGAGCCTCTAGCCCCGCAGCCGCCACCCATCCGATCCGCCACAGTGAAGTGTACATGCTTGGGCGTGGATGCGTCATAGTTAACCGCAAACGAGCGCCGCATCGGGCAGCCCCGGGCCCCGAGCAAGCACAAAAGTTGTAAGACTGGCTCTACCAGCCTGTAAAGAAATTATGCACATCCAGAGAGGACATGCTGCGGTGCTTGCTATTTGAATTCTGCCCACTTGCCCCACTTGCCCCACTTGCTCAATTGGCCCCACTTGCCCCACTTGCCCCCGACCCGCGCGGGACCCGAAGCAAGTGGGGCACGTGCTCCCACGAAAACACCCAGAGCCCACCGGGGAACCCACATGCGCCCTCGAAGGGAGAGCCCGAATACCCCAAAATCCCTCTGGAGGTCCCCAAGGAAACCGCCGAGTTTTCAACAGACCCTTCCCCGACACGGTTTTCAGATGGAATAAACAACGAATCATGCTCGCTCCACGAAATATGAATTAACCTGTGACGTACCCAACCCATTTGTATCAATGGAAACGAAGAGTTGGCCGAACCTTGCATGGACAATCAACTTGATGTATAAGCTACTTGGGACACGCGCCTATGGCATGATGCGCAGGAGAACCATACAAGAACGAGGGGCGACAGCTACAGGCTCGAAGAGGACATGGGGAGTCGGGAACGCAGAGCAGGAGAAAAACGTGCGGGAAGCCGAACCATCAGCACGGCAGCAGCAGAGGGAAGGTGACTGCAGGAGGAGAACAAGGACGAAAGCGGCGTCAACTTTGAATCCGCCGTGAGTACCCACTGTGCTGGGCCCCCCAGCAGCCCTCGAAAGTGGCGACAGTTTCACAGATTGCAGCCCCCCAGGGATGGCGAGGTCCCATTTGAATCCGCCGTGGGTACCCACTGTGCTGGGCCCCCCGGCAGCCCTCGAAAGTGGCGACAGTTTCACAGATTGCAGCCCCCCGGGATCGCGAGGTCCCATTTGAATCCGCCGTGGGTACCCACTGTGCTGGGCCCCCCAGCAGCCCTCGAAAGTAGCGACAGTTTCACAGATCGCAGCCCCCCATGGATGGCGAGGTCCCATATGAATCCGCCGTGGGTATCCACTGTGCTGGGCCCCCCAGCAGCCCTCGAAAGTAGCGACAGTTTCACAGATCGCAGCCCCACAAGACGGGCGAGGTCCCATTTGAATCTCCGCCGTGGGTACCCACTGTGCTGGGCCCCCCAGCCGCCCTCGAAAGTGGCGACAATTTCACAGATCGCAGCCCCCCCAGGGATGGCGAGGTCCCATTGAATCCGCCGTGGGTACCCACTGTGCTGGGCCCCTCAACAGCCCTCGAAAGTGGCGACAGTTTCACAGATCGCAGCCCCACAGGGATGGCGAGGTCCCATTTGAATCCGCCGTGGGCACCCACTGTGCTGGGCCCCCCCCCCAGCAGCCCTCGAAAGTAGCGACAGTTTCACATATCGCAGCCCCCCAGCGCCTCGAACGCAGTCGGGCGGGGAGGTCTAAAGGCAGGGGGGGCAGAAGAGAAGAGAGGGACGGGGGGGGTGGGGGGGGGAAGTCTCGCTCGCGACCGCAGTGCTCTATTCAAAACGAGAACTCAACGCAGGAGGGCTGGGAATAATGCATATTTCATGTTTTCGTCACGTTTTGAATCGCCGGGGGCGGGCTGGATCCTATCTGTTTTCCCAAAATGCAAAGCTAGCCCCCGAAGAATTCATGTTGAAAAACTGGATCGGGGGTCCAGGCTCTCTTTGGGAACCCCACCAGCCCTCTGGGCGTAGGAGGTCTACGGAGTTTCAACTTCCAACCCCCTTCTCCTCTCCGGGGAGGGGTTTCCCCTCCCCCATACCCCCTACCCTGGACCTGGACGGGGGGGGGGGGGGGGGGGGGGGGCAGCGGTCAGGGCGTCCAATATGGCCCAAGACGGGGCAAGTGGGGTAAGTGGGGTAAGTGGGGGCGCACTTCAAATAACGTAACGCCGCTGCATGTGCAATCCACATCCGCCTGACGCGCTCCCGACGCGCCAGCCGTCAGACAGATGGGCAGCCCCGAGAGCTGATGCGTTGTGCGTGCGCTGGGGGTTTTGCACGCTGCCGTTGTCCCACCGCCACTTCCGGCAGCAAGTTCCTCAGATCACTTCTCCTTTGCCTTCTCCGTTGCTGATCACCGGCGCCTCCTCCTCCTTCTCCCCGTCGGCCCCGTCTGGCTTCTCGACCAGGCCGAACTTCTGCAAGAGGGCGTGGAGTCCAAAGAATACGCAGGCGAGGGACCAACTCACGGCCCACCGCCACCCGTTGTTGTAGTCGTGGTCCTCCTTGCCGTAGAAGCCGATCTTTTCGTTGCCCTCCGTAGGTGGTACCTCGTCGTTCGCCATGTTGTGGCTCGCGAAGAAGCCGAACAGCGAGAGCCAAATGGCGAGAAACGAGAGGACCGTGGCATCGAGAAACTTGCGGTCGATACACAGGCAGAACATCCATGCAAGGACGAAGCTGAAGAGCGTGCCCCCTGCCTGGCCCATCATTTGGACGCCCTCATCGGGCATCGACAGCTTGGCCCAGTTGCAAATGTAGGGGAAGATGGACAGAAGCAGGGCGGGGTAGTGCTTCGATGGCGACTCCTCAAACGCCTGCCGGCCGAGCAGCAGCCCGACGAAGAGAAGGATGGCCCCGTTCGCGCACTCTGGGATCACATTGTACAGCGAGGCGAAGAGCCCCGAGAGGAGGAGAGCGAAGTAGATCAGACCGTTGAAGAGGCTGTATCCGCGCTTCGCACCGAGGGCCTTGTGAATGGGGTGCCCGATGTAGACCGTGGTCGAGTAGATGCTTCCGAAGAGGGCGCCGAAAGCGGTGCCCATGCCATCGGCGACCATGGTCTCGGTCATGGGATAGTCGTCGCCAGCCGCAGAGGCACTCTCGACGCATGCCATTGTGCCCGTGAACCCGACCGCAGCCACAAGGAAGATGGTCGAGACGTAGTCGCCGATGTCGCCCAGCCCGCCGAGGCCCACGAAAATCGAGTCCTTCAGGATGTCCGAACTCCATGCGAACTGCTCGTAGGCATTCTCGGCACCAGTGACGGAGGTGCCCTGACAGGTCACGTACTCGTAATTCGAGTCTGAGCCGAACGGAAGGTTGTAAGCGAATGCAATGGCGCCTTCACTGCCAACCTTCCGCTTGCAAGCCCCCGCCCAGCCTGCGACAGTAGCGTAGATGATGGCTGTCAGCGCAATGGGCAATGACAACTTCTTGTAAATGGTGAATCTCACACCGCCGAAGAAGCCCACCATGACAACCAGGATGGGAATCAGACACATCATAGGCTCCGAGGCGATCTTTAGCATCGGGGAGAAAGCCAGCCACACGAAACCGACGCCCAGCAGCGGCGAATAGAAGGCTGCAGTGGGAGTCACCTTCCGGATCGCCTCGCCGAGGACACCGCCCAGCATCTCGAAGAGGCCCATGATGAAGTTTGCGGCGACCCCGACCTTCCACGCGTACTCGGCGGCCTCGAGCGCGGCGCCCTCGACGTCCCCGCCCGCGGCTTGGTCCATGTACTTGAACCCGCCCGTGAAGAGGGCCTCGAGCTGGATGGCGTAGAGCGTGATGTAGATGCCAGTAGTGTTCATGCCGTAAGGCTGGGCAGTGACGTCGTTGCGCCCCTCCTTCGAGCCGAGGCGCCCGCACTGGTACGCGTAGAAGAGGTTCCCGAAGAGCAGGGCAAAAGCACAACCCGGAATGGCCCGGTTGAAATAGATCTTCTCCCACGCCTGTGCGACCGCCAGGCCGTACCCAGGAACCCCGTTCAAGCCACTGTTCGCAATAATGCCATACCCAATGTGGCCCACGGCCGACCCGGTCACGCCGAGCAGCGTCGCGAGGTTGTCGAAGAAAAGCTCGCAAAGCGCCTCCGCCTCGCCGGTCCCGTTCCAAATGGTGACATCAGTGTTCCACCCGTATGAGGCACCCTTCCACCACGTGATGGGGTTCTCGATGAACTTCCGCGCGGGCTTGTCGGTGCGGGACAGCTGCACCTTGTCGGCCATCCTTGTCGGGGGCTCGCCGACTCGGGCCGAAGGGCGGCTGTGGGGCACCCTGGGTGGGAGGAGGGCGCACGGGGGCTAGTCGAGTGCGGCGATCGGCCCTGAGCCAAAACTGGTCTTGACCCAACACGGCTTGAGCCGAAATGGCTACGGAGGAACCGACGAGATATACAACTTGTTCCTTCGTGTCGGACCGGGCTCGGTTTCTCGAACTGTGCAGCTCTGCTGATTTAGAACTGTCGACTTGTGCAGTCCTTTGTTCTAAATTGGCAACCGACGAATTGTGCAATATGTTTCGTTTTTTCAGCTCGGACTCTGTTTTTTACACTGTGTATTTGTCATTGAAAATTGGCGACCTGTGCAGCTGAGTTGCGTGATAACCAACGAGTTGTGCAAACTGCTTCGTTCTGTCGGTTGCGCTCGGGTTTCGAACGTGTGCAGCTCGCTGGACTGGGTGCTCTTGCAACAGGAGCTAGATCCGGCCGATGGAAATGGGAGCAAGATGTCCTCAAACAAATCTGGTGATCCCGGCCGTCCCACCTGAGACATCCCCACAACTCTCGCTTCTGAATTTGTCTGGGATGGAGCGTTCCACCTCCGACATGCTCACAACTCTGCGCTCCGGGCTGCCGCGCGCAGGGCGGTCTGGCGCGTGTCGCCAGAGACATCCTCCCACTTCTGAGCTCCGAGACGCCGCGCACGACGCGGCCAGGCGTGCTTTGCAGGAGACATCCTCACGACTCTGCGCTCCGAGCTGCCACGCAGGAGGTGGTCTGGCGCGTCTCGCCTGTGACATCCTCGTAACTCTGCGCTCCGAGCTGCCGCGCGAGAGGCGGAGAGGTAGTCAGGCGCGTCTTGCTTGAGACGTTCTCGCACCCATGAGCTCCGAGATGCTGCGTGAAAAGTGGTCTTGCTCGTTTCGCCTGAGACATCCTGGCAACTCTGAGCTCTGAGAAAATGGGCGCAAGGGTTGTCGCTTGAGAGGAACACATCCGGCGCACGTCAACATAACGTCTTCGCCACGGAAACCACGACCAGTCTTCCGCGAGCGGTCCCCGAACCATGTGAAAACGGCTCGTGGGAACAAGCTCCACTGAACCATGGAAATTGAAGCGAGCTGGCTCTGGCAAAAATCCAACAGCATCAGGCTGGCTAAAAACGCCCTGAGACGGCCAAGCAGGTCCCCAAAGGCCCCAAAGAGACCCAAGGAGGCCACAAAGAGGCCTTCGAAAAAAAACATAGGAAGCTCCCAGGAGGCCCCCAGAATGACGCAAGAGGCCCCGCAGAGGTCTCCTCGTCCTCCTCCTCCTCCTGCTCCTCCTCCTCCTCTTCCTACTTTCATGCTCCTCCACTCCGCTCCTCTCTCCCCTCATACTCCTTCCTCGCACCCTCCTCCCCTAACTCCTCCTCTCCCTCTTCCTCCCCTCCTCCTCCCTCCTCATCCTCCTCCTCCTCCTCCTGCTCCTGCTCCTGCTCCTGCTCCTGCTCCTCCTCCTCCTCCTCCTCCTCCTCCTCCTCCTTCTCCGCCTCCTCCTTGTTCCTCCCTCTCCTCATCCTCACATGTCCTTAGGTCCTAGCCCACGTGTTCCCCGAAAAGTTTCCTCAGCGGTTTGGGGAACACCTCGTCCGACAATCAGTCAAAGCTCTGGACCCGAACGTTTGGCCACTGAGGGACTGTTCAAAACGGCCGGGGGCGGCGGCGATTCGCCGTAGACGTCTTCGATAACACATGCGTAGATAACACGATCCTTCTCTCTCTCTCTCTCTGTTTCAATATTTCCCTCATCCTCCTCATCCAACTGCTCCTCCGCCTGCTCCTCCGCATCCGCCTCCGCCTCCTTCTCCTCCTCCTCCTCCTCCTCCTCCTCCTCCTCCTCCTCCTCCTCGTCATCCGTCTACTCATCCTCCTCCTTCTCGCCTCGCCTCGCCTCGCCACCCCGCTCGCTCGCTCTCGCTATCCTCGTTCGCTCTCGCTATCCTGGCCTTCAGGCTGACGTCGGAGCTGAACAGCCCAAGCCAATTCTCCCAGACCTGCAGGTCCCGCTCGCCTCGCAGCCGCGGGGGGTGGGGGGGGAGGAGAGGAAGGAGGGGAGGACCAGGAGGGGGCAGGGGGAGACGGAGGAGGAGCGACACGAGGGGAGGAGCAGGAGCAGGAATAGCAGGGAGGGGGAGCCGGGAGGCAGGATAGGGGGAAGGGGGAACAGCAGGGTGGAGGCAGAGAAGGAGCAGAGCTGAGAACGGGCAGGAGGAGGGGGAGAGGGAGCAGGAGGTCGGAGGGCGAGGAGGACGGAGGGAGGAGGACGGGCGTCGCCATCCGCGGGGCATCCCCCCGCGCCCGGAGGGAGGGCGCCAGCCTGCCACGCGCGGCCACGGGCGCGGCGTCCGGCCCGTGCGCAGGCGGGCGCCCGCGCACCCCGCGCGGCAGCCACGGGCCCCTGGCAAGGCCACGCCTGGCCTCGCCCGGGGGGGCCTTCGGCGCCCCCGGCCCCGCGCCGCGGGTCTGGGGGGAGGAGGGGCAGGAGGGGGAGAAGGAGGAGGAGGAGGAGGAGGAGGAGGAGGAGGTGGTGGTGGTGGTGGTGGTGGTGCTCAGTTGGGGGCCATCAGTCTGTCATCTCTCAACTGATCTGTAGCCCCCCCGTTCGAGGAGGAGGAGGAGGAGGAGGAGGAGGAGGAGGCCAGCATCTACGCCGTCTACGTCATCACGAACACCAGCACCGACTCCGACATGGCTTCCGAGCCTGGCACGACTGCTTGCTCCCAGCGCCCCACACCGACGGGCGAGCAGCAACACCAAGGGCTGCGGACAGCAGCACCATGACGGGGCCAGACGCCGACCCCCGCCAGACGCCCCACACAGCGACCAGCAGCAGCAGCAGCACCACGTGCAACGCGACCACGACCGGCCGCAGCGCCACGACTGCAACCAGCAGCACTGCCACCAAGGCGGGGACCAACGCCACCACGAGATGATTGGCCGCAACCGACACCGGCACCCTCCCCAACCGCCCTCGCCCTCGGGCCGCGCGGCTCACGGCCCCCCGAAGCGAGGACGAGGCCGCTCACGCAGTGGCGGGCCTCGGGATGGCATAGGGGCTGCGCGGCATGCCCAGCAGCGCCCTTCCGCCCACCCCGACGCAACCCGCCAGCACGGGCACTCTCCCCGCCCCACGCCTCTACCTACCACACCACCGGAGACAGCGACATCCACCACACAACCGCCCTCGTCCGCATGCACGGCGACTCGAATAGGCGAACGAACAATGACATACACATAACAACTCGGAGGTCCGCGCGGATTTCTCGGATCGGCGCTGGACCCCCCCTGGCGGCGCATCCGGCGCCGCCCCTGACGCGTTCCGCGCGCCAGGGAGGGGGGTCCAGCGCGGATCCAAGAAATCCGTGTGGACCTCCGATTTTTATGTTTATGCCATTGTTCCCCCATCGAAACGGTACGCGAAGACGCCGGGCCACCAGCACACCTTCGGCGTGAGCGCGGTAGTGGGCGCGGTCGCCCTCTCTCTCACGGGGGGAGAGGACGGCAGCCCCCAAGGGGCTGAGCTGGGCCCGCGGCTGCAGCGGCCGCGCCATCAGGGGGAGCAGCGCCCCCCCCCCCCCCCATGGGCCCAACTCCCCCCTTGGGGCGCCAGGAGTGGGGGACCGAAGAATGGCACAAACATAATAACTCGGAGGTCTTCGCGGATTTCTGGGGTCCGCGCTGGACCCCCTTCCCTGGCGCGCGGAGCGCTGCAGGGGCGGCGCCGGAGGCGCCGCCAGGGGGGGTCCAGCGCGGATCCGAGACATCCGTGCGGACCTCCGATGTTTTATGTTTCTTGTCATTCTTCGTTCCACTAAGAAGAGAGTGTGGAGCCGTCGTGAGGTGAGGGGAGGAGGAGGACCCTCGCCGCCCGCCCGCCGGAAGCGGCCCCTTGGCATCGGCAGGCGGGGACCACTCCGGCAGCGTCCGTGGAGGCACTCGTGCCATCGGCTCGTCAGCTCGTCAGCAGGGCTGGACCTAAACGCTGCTTCTCGTTTTGCTTTCGTTCTGGCTTTGCTCGGCCTGCTTTCCTGCACCTCCCTCCCGGAACGAAAAACACAACACAGCCGAAGTCCAGCAAAACAGCGTTTAGGTCCAGCCCTGCTCGTCAGGAAGACGGGAGCGGCCAAGAGGGGGGTGTCCAAGAGGGGGGGGGGGGGGCGCAAATCATGACCGGCGGCATGTGCGCGGCCCAGCGGGGGGGCCAGGGACGTAATGAAATAAGAAGAGGCGCCATGAAATCTGCGGAAATATCACGGCCCGCGCCATGATGTCCACCCCCCCCCTAGTCATCACCCCCCTCTTTTCCGCACCCGAGGACGGGGGGAGCAGGAGGAAGCCCGGAAGCCCCTCCGCTAGCACGCGGAGGGCGCCAAGGCTGGCGCCCGAGGCGCCGCAAGGGGGGTGCACACCGCCGACCCCCAAGAACTCCGCCGCGGACCTCCCAGAGCCTCTGCTTCCACCGTGTGGCTGCATCTTCGACCCCTACTCGTTGTCGTCCACTTTCCTCTGACGGGGGCCCAGGACACACAAATAAATCCGCCGACCCCGTCGGCGTGTGCGAGGGGCTTGGCTGTTCGAGTCGTCGTCTCCGTCGGTCGTCGCCTCCGTCGTCTTCTTTCCCTGCAGCTTCCTTCTCAAGCTCGTGAGCGAGAGAAAAATCTAGCAGTGTCGTAATCGAGTCGAAGGGAAGCCCCTTCCCTTTGATCCCTTCCCCAGAGGGGGGGGAACCCGGGGGGGGTCCCGGGGGGGGTCCCGGGGGGGGGGTCCCGGGGTGTGGGGGGGCAGATTCGTTTTTCCTCGGGCGGCCTAGAAACCTCGAAAACACTCCAAATGAGGTCCGAATGCCCAAGATGGCCCCCGAGACGGCCAAAGAGGGCCCCGAGTCGCCCAAAGATCGGCCGAAAACGCCCAAGATAGCCCCAAGACCGTCCAAGAAGCCTCCAAGACGTCCCAGGCCCCCTCCAAGAGACCCCCAGGAAGCCCCAAGAGGCCCCCACGAGGCTTCCAAGCGGCCCCTAAGAGCTTCCCAAGAGGCCCACAAACTACCCCCAAGAGGCCCCCAAGAGCGCTCGTCGTCGTCGTCGTCGTCGTCATTCAGGGTCGGCGGCACCGGCCGTAAGACCTTCGCAATACACACAAATAAAACAAATCCCCATATTTTCCTATCTTTTCTGCGTTTTTGTCGTCCCCCCCACTTCCCATATTTTCCTATATTTTCTGGGGAATCGACGATTAATTGTGTCTGTGTGTTTTTCCCCCTCCTGATCCTCGCCCGCCCCCTACCCATGATACCGTGTTTGGCAACGCTGTGCGGCACCACCTTCGCTTCGACACGTGACACGTCTGTGCTCCTGCGGAAACAGCGTGCGCTCCCACACCGAATGCACGATCTCGGGAACACACGACATGCGGAGCAGCGGACATCGATGCACGCCCTGGGGCCTCAGAGGGCTGGGCTTCCTGTGGAAGGTCTCTCGTGGTCGGGCCCCCGCTGAATATCAGAACCAGCCGGCATCCAATCGGAAGTCGGATCGAATCGGCATCTCTGCCGGATCGGGCTGGAGATCGGCACGGAATCGGCATCGGGTCGGATCCGCCGCTCCCGGACGCACAGCAGCGCCATGCGGGCACCGGCCCGCGTGGGATCGCCGAGAACTGAGCAGGGACCGACCGTCCTGGCACTCCTATAGTCCTACCACGAGATGTTCTTAGAACCCAAAAATGTTCTAAGAACCAAAACAATGTTCTTAGAACATAAGCCCGATGTGTTAAAACAAGACAGTACAGGCCAGAAATGTTCTAAGAACATTTCGTGCGGACAATCAAAGGTTATTCGATCATTGTTAGGTGGGGCTATAGGCGAGCCGGGACGCTTCGCCACTGCTTGAGAGAAGACGGAATCGAAGCGAATCGAAGTGGTCGAAATCGTCACCCGGCCGGGTCGATCGGGTCGAAATGGTCCCTGCAGATCCGCTCACCGTGTCCCCTGGCACGTCGGGGCGCGGCAGCATGCCAGGTGCTGCCAGGTGGGGCTCCTGTGACTTCTCTAGGGTCCTCCCCTTTATCAAGCACTCAGTCAGCACTACCCCCCCCCCAGTTCCTTTCCAAAAAACTGCGGGGTCACGATCCTGACCACACAATCCCGAGCAGAAGCTGTGGATCCGCGCTGATGGGGCCACGATGCCTCGCAACAGGCAATGGACCCGCGCCTCCGAGGCCACAAGTCCTCGTAGAACACCATGAATCCACGCTCTGGAGCTTCCACGACGGCCAAGGCGGGCTAGCAAGGCCGCCAAGATGGCACAAGATGCTTCCAAGACGGCCAAAAGATTGCCCGCTGGCGGGCCAAGATAGCTCAAGACGGCCAAGGAGACCCAGAAGACGGCCAAATGGGAGACACATGAAGGCAACCAGCAGGACCCGAAGAAGCACAAACAATGGATTTCCCGACGGTTTTTGGAAGATTTGAGTGTTTTCACCTTTTCGGGCTTCCTTCGGCTGCAGACGGCCCTGCAGGCCTCCAAGATGGCCCCCAAAAGGCCCACTAGTTCCCAAAGACCAAAAAAGAAGCCAAAGAGGGCCTCTGGACGGCCCGGGACGGCCCCAAGAGAACCCCAAGCGGGCCCGAGAGGGCCTCCAGAAGGACCCAAGACAGCCTTGGAGAGATCCTCGGCGGCACAACGGACGGTCCAAAAGCGGTCCGACGACGGCCGCAAGAGACCCCCAGACGGTCACGAGGGCTCCAAGCCTGCCAAAGCTCCAAGACGCAAAAAGAGGGCCCCAGACGGCCCAAACTTGCCCACGGGACCCCAAGGTTGGCCCACCAACGCTAAGAAAGAACGAATGATGATGATGATGATGATGATGATGATGATGATGATGATGATGGTGATGATAAATGATGATAACGATGATGATGGAGATGGTCACGATGATGAGGGTCATGATGATGATGATGGTGGTGGTGGTAAAGGTGATGATGATGATGATGATGATGACGATGATGATGATGATGATGATGATGGAGGTGAGGATGATGGTGATGATGATTATGTTGATGATGATGGTGATGATGATGCTGATGGTGAGGGTGGTGATGATAATGACGGTAATAATGATGGCGATGTTGTTGATGATGATAAATATGATGTTGATGATGATGGCGGTGATGATGATGCTGATCATCATGTGGATGACGATGTTGATGATGATGATGATGATGATGGCGGTGATGGAGCTGATGCTAGCAATGATTATGATAATGATGATGATGATACATATGATGGAGATTGTAATGATGATGATGGCGGCTATGATGACGATGATGGTGGTGGTGGTGATTATGACGGTAATTAAAACGGTGGTGATTATAATGGTGATTCTGATTGTGATGATGATGGTGAATATGATGGTGCTGGTGGTGATTGTGATGGTCATGGTGATGTGGATGATGCTGCTGATGGTTGATGGTTTTGATGTGGTGTCGAACATGTGTAAGCGGTGAATGGTAAGTCATGTGTGTCACCATTGCGCAGGGCCATGCTAATATTCTCAGCGTCGTTCCAAGTTGAACGGGCGATCTCCGACGGGAACCCGTTGTTGTGAAGGGTAGTGTTGTTATAGCCCTTGTGCATGATGAAGATGATGATGATAATCAGATGATGATGATGTTGATGATGATGGTGTTGGTGATCGTGATGGTGATGATGGCAAAAATTGTGTTGATGATGACCGTGCTGAGTATGATGATGGTGGTGATGGCCATGCTAATGATAACAATGATGATACTGTGACATGTTTAGTGATGCTGGTAAATACGACGAAGAGCTCGTAGAGGGCCTTCTAGGGCTCCTAGAGGGCTCCAATCAAGGGTTCTTCTAAGGATATCTATCGGGGCTCGTCTGATGAGCTCGTATAGCAGTCCTGTAACGGCTCTCATCAAGGGCCTTATAAGGGCTCCTATAGGGACTCCTGTACAACTCCTACCGGGGCCCCTAATAGGGCGTCCTCTAGAAGCTCTCCTTGGGGCTCCCGTTGAGCTCGCCTGGGAGCTCCTCCTGGGGGAGTTATTGGAGATCTTACACGGAGAGTATCGCGTGGCGCGGCTCCCCCTGGGATGGGGGCACGAGGTGTCGCGCGCGACGGCTTCCTGCCCGACCCGAGGGCACCCGCCGGCCCAGATCCTCGGCCGCCACGGTGGTGGGACCTGCCGCGGACAGCTGGACAACAACAACAGCCACAAGAACAGAACAGCAGGACTCTACCCGCCGGTCGGGAGACGTGAGTAGCAGCATTAAGTAGGACGTAGGAGGGCGATGAGAAGTATGACCCACTGCCCCAGATAATAACCACTCAGGGATAGTAAAAAATCGGGGGTCTGGCGGGGATGAACAACGATTTTCCCGGGGAAGATGATGTTAGCTATGAATGATGATGATGACGACGATTATGATGATGATGATGATGATGATGATGATGATGACGACGACGACGACGACGACGACGACGACGACGACGCCGACGCCGACGACGACGATGATGATGATGATGATGATGATGATAATGATAATGATAATGAGGATGATGATGATGAGGATGATGATGATGATGATGATGATGATGATGATGATGATGATGATGATGATGATGATGATGGTGATCCTGGGTGCTCGTGATTGCGGAAGCTGATATGGTAACACCACCATGGCCATGCTCAGCGTGCGTTTTTGATGTTGTTGCTAATCAATATGAGATGATAACAACTTCGACTCGCAACATCCCGCGTGGATTACGAAGTTCGGCCTCCGCGCCCCTCTCCACAATTACATCCTATCGAACAGGGATAAAAAATAGTGGGGGTGAAGAGGGAGTAGAGGGAGTGTAGCCTGTATTATCTGTGGACGGGGTTAGTGGGTTTCCGCACGCCCCCATCAAGAGGAAGGAGAAGGGAAATCCACTCCATGATTGAAGCAGGAGGGCGGCGAAAGCAGATGGAACCTGGGGGCTGAAAAGTACAAATTTTCAGAGACCGATGCGCCGATGCGTCTCCTCCCCTTCCCCCGTTTTCCCATGGCGGCGCGTCTTGCCCCCCAGTCGCACAAGGTGGTCTCCGCTCCGGCCCTACGTTTCCTTTAAACGCCATGGGGCTGCACGAACGCCAGGGGGGACAACAAGACGCCTCCCAGGACGCCTACGACATGCCAACCAAAAGAACGTGTGGGCTTCGCACAATCTTCATGTTCTCGCCATGCTTGTCTTTACGGAATTCACGACAACACAACCCTCAACAGTTCCAAGACGACACGGGAGCCCACCGCGACGCCCCCAAAAGAGGTCCCTTAAGTTTCCCAAAAAGTCTCACGAGGCCCCCAAGAAGCTCCCAAGAAGTCCGCAAGAAGATACCCCAAAAAACAAATGAAGCCTCAAGAGATCCCAAAAAGGTCCCACGAGGCCCCGCGACGCTCCCGAGAAGCCCCAAGAAGCCCCAAGAATCCCACAAGAGCCTCCCGAAAGGCCCCGAAGATGCCCTCGAGAGGCCCCGTGAGGGCATCGACACACGCAGCAAACGACGCCGACAAAGGCTGTGTTCCATGTTCATGTCCATTCTCTGCCCACCTTCACCGACACAGGCTGCGTTTCATCACGACGCCCCTTCCTTGTACACTTTCAACGGCTCGTTCCGAGGGGGCCGCAAGAGATGTGGCGCATGTGCGTGACTCACTCAGGTGTGGCGCAGTCGGTGCGTCACGCATTTCGGCACATGCCTTGTCGCACAGCAGTCTCGCTGGGCCTCTCTCGCAAGCGCGGTGGCGGATATGCGCGGCAGCGCAACTGGATACGGCCGGTTCGCGTCGCGGGCGTTGGTTTCTGACCCCGCGTGGCCCGTTCAACCTTGAACGATCGCGGCTTTCCGACAACGCAGATCGCTCGACAGCGGCCGATGCCGGGCCACTGGCGGCGTCTAACCTTGAACGCCAGCGCTGGGGGTCGCCGCCGCGTCCGCGCGGCGCAAACCTACCGCACCTGCGTTCCACGACCGCTGGGCACTCGCGGGGCGCAGTGCCCGCCGAGGTGGCGGCGAGAGCGCCGGGGGGGGGGCCCGCGCGCCTCCGCGCCCGTCGCCCCTGGAGAACGTGGGCTGCACCTCTCCGCGGGAGGGGGGCCGGGGGGGCAACCGGGGGCAGGGGGACGGCGACGACGAGGACGACGAGGACGAGGACGACGACGAGGACGACGAGGACGACGAGGACGACGGCGACGGCGACGGCGACGGCGACGGCGCCAACGACCACGACGGCGACGACGACGACGACGACGACGACGACGGCGGCGGCGGCGGCGGCGGCGGCGGCGGCGGCGGCGGCGGCGGCGGCGGCGGCTGCAACGGCGGCGGCGCCCAGCGGGGGGGATCCGTGAGCCCTCCTGCTTCTGGCCCACCGCGGGCGACGATGGAGGCGGGCGGCGCAGGAGCTGGGGGGGGGGGGCCAGCTGTCCATCCTCTGCTCGTTCCTTCCTCGTGCCTCCCTCCTGCTCTTCTCCTCTCTGTCTGTCCTGATCCATGAGGCGACGTACCTGACGCGGTTGGACCATCTGAATACTTGAAGTGTCGGCTCATGCGGATCTTGGGCTTCGCTGTGGGCGCGCGGATGCGCGGGGGAGATACGCCGACCCCACGCTTGCCACGGGCAAATCTGAAGGGGCCCTGGGACACACAAACAAAGACACACATGTTCCTACATGTTCCCGCATTTCCCACGTTTTCCCACATTTTCTGGGTGTTCGTCTTCCCCCCCCCCCACTTCCCATAGTTTCCCATATTTTCCTGGGGATTGACGATTCATTGTGTCTGTGTGCTGTTTCCCCTCCTGAGGATCAGAAGAGGAGCATATGGACCGCCGCCACCGAGAACGCCTCGGGGGAGGCCAGCCCCCGGGCGGCGGCACGCCCCCGAGCGTCTCCCGGAGCAGGGCGACGCTCGGGCGTGCCGCCGCCCAGGGGGCTGGCGCCCCTCCTCCCCCCCCCCTGTTGGTGCGCTCTCGGCAGCGGTGGTCCATGTCTCTCCCTGTCCTCGCCATCGCTCGGACGTCCATTCCCTGTGCTTTTTCCGGTTTCGTGCGTGGTTTTCCGCCAAATGATCAAGGATGCTCCTCGATGGTCCTCGCCGAAGGAAACATGCACACGTCCGAGCGATGCCAAGTGTCTCCTCGGAGTAGAACACTCGGCCGTCGCCGTCCCCCTTGCCTTCCTCCCCTGGGGCCTAACATCCCGTCAGAGGGGGGGGGAGGAAGGAAGGAAGGGGGCACAACTCGACTTCTGGGGGCCGGCGCGCTGGCGCAAGACTGTTGAGCGACCCAGGACAGTCCGTGAAGGACGTCCAGTGATAGTGATGGATGATGCAAGACGTCCAGGGCTGCGTGAGCGCAGCGGTGCCTTGAAACCAACGTCGAGCCCCCATCCGAAGGAGCAAACGCACAGACGGGCCCCACTGGAGGCAGGCCGTTGTTCGTTGAAGCATGCGACCCCTGTCCAGGGGTCGTCCTGTCTCAGGGGCTGCCCCGCGTGAGCCTATGGAATCTGCTGGAGTTGAGAAGGTGGTAGGGGGAAGGAGTGTTCCCAGGGCGTCCTACGGGTCAACGACCTAGAAGAGGCGAGGGCGGAGGCAGGAACGGCAGCAGCAGCGGCAGCAGCGCCCGCGGCAGGAAGAACGGTAGGAGACGAACTCAAATGAGACTGCGGCTGGCTCGGCCGTGTTTGCCAACAGGCGGAGCAGTTAGGAGGAGGCGAGGGGGAGAAATGCAGCGGGGAGGGAGGGAGGGAGAATGGAGGAGAGAGGGGGGGGGCATCCAGGAGGGAGAGGGGAGGGAAATCCGGGAAGAGCAGAAGCTGTCCAGCGGGGGGTCCCAAACTGGGGAAGTGCCACGGAGCTGGGAGTGGAACTTCTTCTCTCATCACACTCAGCCGCCTCCTCATCCGCCTCTACCTCCTCTCCCGCCTCCTCATCTTCCAACCTATCCTCATCTTCTTCCTCCGCATCGTCCTCCTCCTGATGTGTCCCCTCCTCCGCCTGCCCCTTCTCTTCCTCACTCACCACCACCTCCTCCTCCTCCTCCTCCTCCTCCTCCTCCTCCTCCTCCTCCTCCTTGTCGGCGGAGAGTGGGCAATCTGAGGTAGGTGCACCCCCCCAAGGACCCATCTCCCCCCTAATGTTGTAGACGGCCCCTGTCGGAGGGCATGGGCCATCTGGGTTAGATGCATCCCACCCTGGGCCCATCTCCCATACTAACGCTGCATCAAGCCCATTATCGGCGGGGCAGGGGCCATCTGGGGCAGATGCGAGGGAGCGAGGGAGGGAGGGAGGGAGGGAGGGAGGGAGGGAAGAGGGAGGGAGGGAGGGAGGGAGGAGGGAGGGAGGGAGTGAGGGAGGGAGGAGGGAGGGAGGGAGGGAGGGAGGGAGGGAGGGATAGACCCCTCTGAACCTGTCTCCCCTCCCAACGTTGCAGCCGGCCCCCGATCGGCGGTGCAGGTGCCACGGGGGGTCGACGTATCCCCCCCATGGGCCGAAGAAGCCCCACCTGACGCTGCCCCTGAAGGAAGGGGCCCTGGGACACACACACACACACACACACACACACACACACACACACACACACACACACACAATTATCCCGGCGAAGGGCCCAACCATGTGCAGCTGTGTGTAACGCAGGTGTGGGTATCGTCCTCGGTGAACCTCCCTCTGAGACCACGACGCGTGTGACGGGTGTGCCAACATTGGCACGGGTACGCCATGCGGACGCTGCCACAGGAGCCGTCGGTGCAGCCCCATCTGAGGCCACGAAACGCATGAGGGGTGCGCCGAAATGCAGGGTGGAACCACGTGCGGGCGCTGCCACCAGGGCCTTTGGTGGCCGCGAAACGTGGAAGGGGTGCGCCGAAATGGAGGGGGAACTGCATGCGGAACCTGCCACTGGGGCCCTAAGTGGAACACTCCATGGGGCCACGAAACGTGTGAGGGGTGCGCCGACATGGAGGGGGAGCTGCATGCGGACTTGCCACGGGGGCCTTGAATGGAGCACCCTATGGGGTAACGAAACGTGTGAGGGTGCGCCGAAATGGAGGTGGACCTGCATGTGGACCCTGCCACTGGAGCCTACGGCGGAGCACCGTATGGGGCCACGAAACGTGTGAGGGGTGCACCGAAATGGGGATGGAACTGCATGCGGGCCCTGCCACTGGGGCCTTCCGCGGAGCACCCTATGGGGCCACGAAACGTGTGAGTGGTGCGCCGAAATGGAGGTGGAACTGCATGCGGACCTTGCCACTGGGGCCTTCGGCGGAGCACCCTATGGGGCCACGAAACGTGTGAGGGGTGCGCCGAAATGGGGTTGGAACTGCATGCGGGCCCTGCCACTGGGGTCATCGGCGGAACACAACATGGGGCCACGAAACGTGTGAAGGTGCGCCGACATGGGAGTGGAACTGCATGCGGACCCTGCCACTGGGGCCTTGGGCGGAGCACCCTATGGGGCCACGAAACGTGTGAGGGGTGCGCCGAGATGGGGGTGGAACTGCATGCGGACCCTGTCACGAGGGCCTTCGACGGAGCACCCTATGGGGCCACGAAATGTGTGAGTGGTGCGCCGAAATGAGGGTGGAACCGCATGCGGACCCTGCCATTGGGGCCCTAATAAGTGGAAGAACACTCCATCGGGCCACGAAAAAGTGTGAGGGGGCGCAACATGGAAGGAGGGAGCTGCAGGCGGACTTGCACGGGGGCCTTGAATGGAGCACCTATGGGGTAAACGTGTGAGTGAGGGGTGCGCGAAAAATGGAGGTGGACCTGCATGTGGACCCTGCCACTGGAACCTACGGCGGAGCACCGTATGGGGCCACGAAACGTGTGAGGGGTGCGCCGAAATGGGGGTGGAACTGCATGCGGCCCTGCCACTGGGGCCTTCGGCGGAGCACCCTATGGAGCCACGAAACGTGTGAGGGGTGTGCCGAAATGGAAGTGGAACTGCATGCGGGCCCTGCCTCTGGGGCCTTGGGCGGAGCACCCTATAGGGCCACGAAACGTGTCAGGGGTGCGCCGAAATGGGGGTGGAACTGCATGCGGACCCTGCCACTGGGGCCTTCGGCGGAGCACCCTATCGGGCCACGAAACGTGTGAGGGGTGCGCCGAAATGGGGGTGGAACTGCATGCGGACCCTGCCACTGGTGCCTTGGGCGGAGCACCCTATGGGGCCACGAAATGTGGAAGGGGTGCGCCGAAATGGATGTGGAACTGCATGCGGACCCTGCCACTGGGGCCTTGGGTGGAGCACCCTATGGGGCCACGAAACGTGTGAGGAGTGCGCCGAAATGGAGGTGGAACTGCATGCGGACCCTGCCACTGGGGCCTTGGGTGGAGCACCCTATGGGGCCACGAAACGTGTGAGGGGTGCGCCGACATGGGGGTGGAACTGCATGCGGACCCTGCCACTGGGGCCTTGGGTGGAGGACCCTATGGGGCCACGAAACGTGTGAGAGGTGCGCCGAAATGGAGGTGGAACTGCATGCGGACCCTGCCACTGGGGCCTTTGCTGGAGCTCCCTATGGAGCCACGAAGCGCTGTAATGGGTGGGTGAAACGCAAGGAGGAGGGAGGAGATGGAGGAGGAGGGAGGAGAGGGAGAGGGGAGGGGGGCAGCGGGAGGTGGGAACGCGGGGCGCTGTCTCTTCAAAACGAGGACCCAACACCACAGGATGGTTGGGAAAAAACATAGCACACAAGTAAGAGGATCCCCTATATTTTCCCATACGTTCTGGGTTTCTGACTGCCCCCCCACTGCCCATATTTTACTATCTGTTCTGTTCTGGATCCCCCCTTGGGCCGAAGAAGCCCCACCTGACGTTGCCCCTGAATGAAGGGGCCCTGGGACACACAAAAACATACTCCGGATTCCACAATAAAGTGGTGGGGGTCACATTTGGGGGGGGGGTCCGATTTGAGCTGTCTTGGAAGGTTCGGGGGGGGGTCCGGGCAAAGGGCCGCTCGTTCGTGGATGGCTTGGGGGGGTCTAAAACTTATCGTCTGAGAGGGTTGTGACCCCCTCCCCTTTCTTACGAAATCTAGAGTGCACACAAGTAAGAGGATTCCCGATGTTTTTCCATACGTTCTGGGTTTCTGTCTGCCCCCCCCCCACTGCCCATAGTTTACAATATGTTCTGGGGAATCGACGAGTGTGTGTCTGTGTGTGGTTTTCTCCTCCTGATAGATGCATCCCCCCTGCCCTGAACCTATCTTGCCCTCCTAACGCTATTGCCGACCCCCGATCGGCGGCGACGGTGCCACGGGGGGTCGACGTGTCCCCCCTGAGCCGAGACCCCGCCCAACGTCTGCCCCTGAAACGGACCGCCCGGGGACGAGCCCGCGTCGGACCGGGCAGCCGGATCGGATCGCAGTGTGCCCTGAGGGTCGGAGGCAACTACGGGGACCTGCCGCGGCGTGCGGGCTGCAACCCCTGGGTGGATGCCCCCCACACGTCCTCGACGTGCGCATCATCATCATCATCATCATCATCATCATCATCATCATCCTCCTCCTCCTCCTCAGCAGCAGCAGCAGCAGCAGCAGCATCAGCATCATCATCATCATCATCATCATCATCATCATATCCTCCTCTTCCTCCTCCTCCTTCTCCCCCTCCTCTTCCTCCTCCTCCTGCTGCCCCTCAACCTCCTCAATCGTCTCCAGACACGCATCAGCGTCATCGGTTCATCAGCAGCAGCATCATCCTGATCAGCATAATCATAATCAGCATCAGCATTATCATCATCATCATCATCACCACCACCATCATCATCATCATCATCATCATCAGCATCATCATCATCATGAGCATCAGCATCAGCATCATCAGCACCATCAGCATCATCATCAGAATCACCAGCATCATCCGCATCTGCATCATCATCATTATCATCATCAGCAGCATCATCATCAGCAGCATAATCAACATCATCACCAGTATCATCATCAGCATCAGCATCAGCAGCATCATCATCGTCATCCTCGTTACCATCATCACCACCATCACCGTCATCATCATCAACAACAGCAGCATCATCATCGTCATCAGCATGATCATCCTGATCGCCAGCAGCAGCAGTAGCAGTCACAGCAGCATCATCACCGCCAGTAGCATCATCACCATCATCAAGAACACCACCACAACCACAACCACCATCACCATGAGCATATCACTTAGCAGTACCATCATCATCGTCGTCGTCCTCATCGTCATCATCACCACCATCAGCATCATCACCACCATCAGCATCGACATCATCGTCACCATCCTCGCCTGCATCATCTCCTTCATCAGCAACATAATCCTTAACATCATCATCACCTTCATGATCAACGTCACAGTCATCATCATCACCATCATCACCATCATCACCATCATCACCATCAACATCACCATCATCATCATCATCATCATCAGCCGCATCATCACCACCATCTCTAGCCCCATGGCCAGCATCATCAACACCATCATCCCTTTACCGTCATCATCATCAGCATCATCAGCAGCAATCATCGGCGCCAGCAGCAACAACGGCGTCAGCATCAGCAGCAGCATCATCAGAATCACCGTAATCATCATCATAAACACAATCACCACCATAGCCACACTCGAGTGTAACGATCATGTGTTCATCCGTGTCCTCATCCTCCACGCTTTCTCCTCCAAGAAACGTGTCGCTCCCACCCCCAGACGGCGCAGTACCATACATCTCTCATCTTGCCCATGGGGCCTGCCAGAGCCTCACGGCGGCTCACATCGTCGCAACCAGATGGCGAGACGCCGCCATCAGACTGCAGCACTCGGGTCGAGCACCAGCGCCGAGATCGGCCTCAAGCTCTAAGCTGGTATAGCTGAGGAGAGACAAGGGAAGAGGAGCTGCCTCCTTCCCATCCACCTCGTGTCTCCTTTCCCTCCTTATCCCCATCCCTACCTCCTTCTTTCCCTCCCTACCTCTTTCCTTCCCTCCCCCTCCCTACCTCCTTCTTTCCCTCCTCCCCTATCTTCACCTCCCTCTGATCTCTCTATCATATTTTACCATCCTCCCTCATCCCTCCTTCATCCTCCTCAGACTCGTCCGCCTTCTCATCACTAGCACCAGCATCATTAGAAACATCGTCATCTTGGAATCGTCAAACTCAGCACCGTCCTAATCAGCACCACCACCATCATCATCATCAGCATCCTCAGCGTCATCAGCGTCATCAGCACTTTCAGCATGACCATCACCATCAGCACCATGATCGTCATCAACATCGCCATGAGTGTCAGATTCCGAATCATCGCCATCACCATTAACAACAACATCATCGTCATCAGCATCATCATCATCATCATCAGCATCATCATCATCAGCATCATCATCATGAGCATCAGCATCAGCATCATCAGCATCATCAGCATCATCATCAGAGTTAACATCAGATCCATCATCATCACCATAATCATCCTCATCACCATCGTCGTCATCAGCATCATCAGCCTCTTCATCAGCGTTAGCATCGTCAGCATCATCATATCCATCATCAGCAGCATAATCATCATCGTCACCATCATCATCCTCATCATCATCATCAGCATCATCATCATCTTCATCATACAAAAAAACAGCATGAACAGAATCAGCATCCGAATCATCATCCCCAAATCATCACCATCGTCATGCGTATCGCTATGATCAGCATCATCCTAATCATCATTGGCATCATTATCACCATCATTGTCATCAGAATCCTCATCCTCATCCTCATCCTCATCATCATCATCATCAGCAGCAGCAGCATCTTCATCGTCAACATCATCGTCAGCATCATCACCATAACCGTCACACGTCTCATCATCCGCATAAACATCAAAAGTTGCATCTGTATCACCACCACCACGACCGAAAAAAGCATCAGCCTCATCATCATCACCACCGACACCATCATCACACATCCTCCCCTGATCCCCTCGCTCGTCGGCAACCCCGGGGCACGGGACAGGTGCTCGAGCGAGACCCGCTGGCCGCCCGACCCCCCGCACACGGAGCCAGCGAGAAGGGCGGCGGCACCGCGCTGAGAGAGACGAGTCCGTGGTAGAGCAGCTGCTTCTGCCGCTCGCCGTCCTTCGGGGGGGAAAACACGGGGGACCGCGCCCCGGGCGCCAGCACCGCCTCGGGCCTTGGTCCGCGTCGTGACGTGACGTGCTCTCAGGCTCGCGTCGTGACGACTCTCGGGCCTTGGATTCCGACACCACGTGCATCGTTCCACCGTGAGCGGTCGCAGCTTCACGATTGAGCAGATCGCTCTGCCTCGGCCAGTTCCGGGGCTTCTTGCGGCGTTCCAAGATGAAGAGACGGCACAGACATAAACTTGTGGCGCTCCGCGTGGAGTTCTTGCATCTGCGCTGGACACCCCTCCCTGGCGCGCGGAGCGCGCCAAGGGCGGCGCCGGGGGGGCCCAACGCCGACAACAGAAATCCGCGCGGAGCGCAAACAGTTTATGTTCATGCCGTTTTTTCTTCTTCGAACTCCATCTTGACCGCCCGCGCTGGGGTCGCCGCGTCGACACGGCACAAAAACCTGCCGCACACGCAAGGCATCCATCCACACAGGAGGAGGAAGAGAGGGAGGAGGAGGAGGAGGAGGAGGAGGAGGAGGAGGAGGAACAGGAACAGGAGGAGTCGGAGCGGGACGGGGGGGGGAGGAGGAGGAGGAGGAGGAGGAGGAGGAGGAGGAGGAGGAGGAGGGAGGAGGAGGAGGGAGGAGGAGGAGGAGGAGGAAGGAGGAGAAGAGGAGGAGGAGGAGGAGGAGGAGGAGGAGGAAGAGGAGGAGGAGGAGGAGGACGGCACGAACCTGCCGCACGCGCAAGGCATCCATACACACACACACACACCGGAGGAGCGGCCAGACACCAACCCCCCGGGGCCCCGCATGGCCCTGGCCGGGCACACGGTGATGGCGGGCGCGTGCGGCCAGGGCCGCTTTTTTCTCTGAGCGCGTCGCGGCGGCGGCCCCCGCGGCACGCGCCGCGCCGTGAAGGAGGACAGAGTGCGGCTCTGCCGCAAGGCGCCTCCCGACCGACTCTTGGTCGCCGAAATCTCGCCAGCGCTCGGACACGTTCGACTACTTCCCTCGAAGGAGGTGGCTATCCTGTCGTGGTTGCTTCCTGGCGCTCGCCCTAGTTTCCAGCTTTTGACGGAGTGCCGCTCTGCCTCGCGGGACGGGAGGCTGGGAGAAGCTCGGAGCGCTGACGCCCCGGGGCCTGGGACGTGCCCCCAGCGCGCCGCGCCGAAGCGCGGTGGGCCGGCGGCACCGGCGGCGCGAGGCGCGCCCGGCAGACGCTCCTGACCGCGTGCCGCCTCCTGCGGACGACGAGGGCCAGGGGAACGATGGCGCGCGCGGCGCAGCGCCTGGATGGGCCTCCCAGATGGGGTGGGAGCAGATGGGGTCGGGGGGTCGCGCCGCATCGCCGATGTGTCGGCGATGCACCATCGATGCGTCGACGTGGAGAAAATCGGGCTCCACGTCGAGCCGCATCGCCGATGCATCGCCGATGCCTCGGCGACGCGGCGCGATCCTCCGACCCCACCTGCTCGGACCCCATCCGGGAGGCCCAGGGCCTGCCCGCCCGCGGGGCCGCGGCCCGCTCCCCCCGGGCGCCGCTGCCGAGAGGGGCCCCGCGCGCTGCTGCGGCCACGGGGCCCGCGGCCCGACGAAGCCCCCCCCCCGAGCGGGCCTCGCGAGGCCGCGGCGCCGCCGCCCCCGCAGCGCGCAGGCCGCGGGCCGCCGCGGCGGCGCGGCGGCGCGGCGGCGCGGCGGCGGCGCGGCGCCGCGGCCGAAGGGGCCGAACCGACCGACGACAGCCGACTGCGACGCGGGGGGAGCGGCGGGAGCCACGGGCCTGCGCCGGGGGCCCGCCGCGGGGACCTGCTGTCCACGGGGCGAAGTGGCGCCCTCGTGAGGAGCACCCCGACGAGCGAAGCCTCCCAGGGAGCGCACCGAAGAAAGGAATCGAATAGGGCAGGGCTGCTTTAGAAGAAAAGAAAAAAGTAAGAAGAAAAGGCACAAACACAACTTTCCGATGTCCGCGCCGAGTTATATTGGATCGGCCCCAGGCCCCCCCCCGTCTCTGGACGGTGGAGCCGCAACGCCAACCCGAGTAATCCGCGCGGGGCTCCGAAAGTTCCCAAAACGGTGACTCAGAGGTTCTTACTTGTCTTCTCAGGAACTGGGCCTGCGGGGCGCTCTGGCCGCTATGTGGCCGCCGTCGCCGCCTCGTCGCCGCCCGCTGCCTCGTCGCCAACCGCTTCGGCTTGCTTTGCATTACTTCGCATTGCTTGGCATTGCGTTGCATCGCGTTGCATTGCTGAGCGTTGTTTGACACTGTGTTGCACTGCTTTGCCAAGCCTTGTATTGCTGTGAATCCAAACAGCCCTCTGGGCGACAGGTGGTCTAACGATGTCTTTCTTTCCTCTTCCATAACCCCCTCTTCCCCTTCGGAGAGGGCTTTACCCCTCCCTCTACCTCCTCCCCTGGACCTGGACGGGGGGGGGGGTCGCGAGGATCTGGAGCGTCCAAGACGGCCCAAGATGGCTCCAAGAGGGCCTCAGAGAGCCCAAGATGGCCTCCAACATCGCTCAAGATAGCCCAACATGGCTCGAGATCGCTAACAGCATCTCTCCAAGAGGCCCCAGGAAGGCCACATCGCATCCCATCCCATCCCATCGTTCCGTCGCCGTCGTCGTCGGCGTCGTCGTCGTCTTCGTCGTTGTCGTCGTCGTGTTCGTCGTCTTCGTCGTCGTCGTCATTGTTGTACTCGTCGTCGTCATCGTCGTCGTCGGTCGTATGTCGCCGTCCGTCGTCGTCGCGTCCGCGGCGGCATTGCTGCGTGGCAAGTCGAGTGGAATGCTTGTGTTTTCACCTAGGCGTTCACGCGAGGAGAGTAGGAACATAATTGTAATGATATGTTCCGCCCCGCGGCGTTATCACGTCGTGGCGTCCGGAGTGGAATTGGTTCCGTCTCAGCCTTCGCGGCGTTGCCATGTGAAGAGTAGAATGGAACTCTTTCCTCCACACCCCTATACATTCCCAAAGGGCGAGTGGAGTGGAAGAGTACGTGTTGCTTGCCCCCTAGAGCGTTGTTACATGACGAGTAGAATGGAATAGTATGTTGCTGCAGGTGTTGCAACGTTGCGAATAGAGTAGAATAAGGCTGTTTCGAGCCCGCAGGCGTTGGGATGTGACATGTACGATGTTCCGTTTCCGCTGCATTGAATTGAAGTTGACTTGCATTGAACTGCGTTGGATTGCAGCGGCATTGAATTGCGTGTTAATTGCGTTGCAGTGAGAGCATTGCGTTGCAATGCACTTGCAAGTGCACGAAATCTTATTTACAGACAAGCCAAATACAAATTGACCACCCAAACCACGCCAAAGTGGCCAGTCAGACAACCGATCAACCAACAAACCAGCAAGACCACCAGCAGCAGCATCATCAGTATCATCGTAATCGCCATCGTCATCATCATCATCATCAGCATCATCATCATCAGCATCATCATCATCATCATCATCATCATCATCAGCAGCAGCATCATCATCATCATCCGCAGCATCAGCATCACCACCGTCAGCATCAGCATCATCAGCATATCATCATCAGCATCAATTTCATCATCATCATCATCATCATCATCAGCATCATCATCACCATCACCATCATCACCATCATCACCATCATCATCATCATCATCATCATCATCATCATCCTACTCCTGCCCATTACCATGGTTCCCCTCACCCCTGTTGTCCCCCATGTATTCCCGGTCCTGCTCGCCGCTCCTCCCCCATGCGTCCTCACTGCACCCCCCCCACCCACCCACCTCTTGCGCTTCCTCCCCCCGCCAATCCCCCCGCACCCCTCCTTTCTCTCACTGTTCCTCGCCATGATGGCGGTATCTCCTCTCCTTCCCCTCGTTGCCCGCCTCCTGCTCCTCCTTCCTCTTCCTCCTCCTCCTCCTCCTCCTCCTCTCCTCCTCCTCCTCCTCCTCTCCTCCTCCACCTACTCCCTCCTCCTCCTCCTCCTCCTCCCTCATCATCATCATCAATCAGCATCAGCATCATCATCATCATCATCATCAATCATCATCATTCATCATCATCATCAGACAGCATCATCATCATCATCATCATCATCATCATCATCATCATCATCATCAGCACCATCATCATCATCACCAGCACCATCATCATCATCAGCATCAGCAGCATCAGCATCAGCATCATAAGCATCATCAATGTCATCATCATCAGCACCATCCTCATCATCACCATCTGCATCATCATCACCATCTTCATCATCATAATCATCATCATCAGCATCATCATCATCATCGTCATCATCATCACCAACATCATCAGCATCACCATCATCATCATCATCATCATCATCATCATCATCATCATCATCAGTATCGTCAGCATCATCACCAACAGCATCATCAGCATCATCCGCATCTTTGTCATCATCAGCAGCATCAGCATCATCAGCATGAGCATCGTCATCATCATCAACAGCATCATCATCAGCAGCAGAATCCTCAGTAGCATCATCATCACCATCATTATCATCACCAAAAGCAACAGTAGCAGCCGAATAATAATCATCATCAGCATCATCATCATCATCATCATAATCGTCATCAGTATCAGCATCATTATCACCATCATCAGCATCATCATCATCACCATCATCAGCATCGTCATCAGTATCATCATCATCATCATCGTCATCATCATCATCATCATCATCATCATCAGCATCAGCATCATCATCATCATCATCATCATCATCATCATCATCATCATCATCATCATCATCATCCTATGCATCGTCCTCCTCCTCCTCCTCCAAACCCACCTCTCCCTCTTTCCTTTCTTGCTCCTCCTCCTCCCCCTCCCTCTCCTCTTCCTCCTCCTCCTCCTCCCCCTTCGCCTCCTCATCCTTACGAGACCGTCAGGATACCGCCGGCCAAGAGACAAAGCAGCGTCTGCACCCTCGACGCCAGGCGCGCGGCAGAGGAGCACGGGAAAGGCCGCGGCCGCGCTTCGCTCCTGGTCCGCCGGGCACCACCGCAGCACGCTCACCTGGGCAACGCGCCGTCGAGGGGGGGGGTGCAGGGAAGGCCAGGGGGGGGGGGCGGGAGAGGGGGAGGGGGAGAGGGGGGGGGAGGGGGACGGCGAGGGGAGAGGGGGGAGGGATGGGGGGGAAGGGAGGGGAGGCAGCGAGGGGAGAGGGGCCAGGGAGGGGGAGGGTTCTGGTTGCAGCATCCGAGAACAGGTGCCAGAGGATGCAACGAAGGGGCTGGCGAGGCCTCCAAGAGGGGGAGCGATGTACGCTCCAAGACTGCACCTTGCAGGGAGGAGGGGGAGGAGAAGGAGGAGGAGGAGGAGGAGGAGGAGGAGGAGGAGGAGGAGGAGAGGAGGAGGAGGAGGAGGAGGAAGGAGGAGGAGGAGGAGGAGGGAGTAGGAGGAGGAGGAGGAGGAGGAAGAAGAAGGGGAAGAGGGAGAGGCAGGTTTGGAGGAGGAGGAGGCGGAGGAGGAGGGAGAGCGGGAGGAGAGGGAGGAGGAGGGGGAGGAGGAGGAGTTTTCCCGCGCGCCAACTCGCAGAACGGGGGTGCGGGCGTGGCCGCGTCGATCACGCCGCGGCGGGGGCGGGGCACGGGCACCGCGGCGCTGCCCGAAGAGAAACCAGGACAAGCAGCTGAGCACCACGGCGCCCTGCGAGCCCCGCGTGATGCAGAGCACCCACATGTGCGAGCGGCCAGCACGTGCCCGACAGCACCCCTCGGGTGTGGCCCGAAGTGTGCCTGGCCCAAGGTGTTCCCGGCCTGTCGCGCCATGTCGGCCCCTCTGGGCCTCGTGATGGGGGCTGCGGAGGCCACCTAGACATCCCAGGGAACCCTAGGGGCACCTTCGCCTCTAGCAACACCCGAACCAACGTGTGTTTGATACACCCAGGCAGCAAAAAACAGCCCCAAACCCTGCAAGCACCACCACACGTGGCCTCGCAACGTGACGCGCATGCAGACCGTTATGCCAGTCCCTGCCAACACCTTAAGAGCCTAAGAGCACTGCAGTATGCCTGCGAACAGCGCGGTGCCTTCGAACACACTCGGACGTACCTGAGAACACCACACTTTGCCTGCGGCCACCAAACCGCGCGCGCCAGACATCAACAACGTGCCTGTGACCGCCAGACGGCGAATGGACCGAACCCCGCCAGTACCACAACAGCCTGCAAGCGCCCGTGGCCTACACAACTGCATGCCGGCCACTGCAGCACTATGCCAGCCTAAGCCTGCTAGAACCCGCAAGGCACCCGAGAAGCCGACCAGGGCCTGCGAGCACCACGCCGTGGCCCCTGCGGGCACCGGCGCGCTCGAGACCACCAGGACGCCAGGCCCTGCATGTCCCGCAGCAGCCTGGAAGCGCCACGCCGGCGGGGGCGAAGGCACTTCGGGGCCGTCGCCGTCGTCTACAACCCTCGTCGAAATTGAACGCGTTTTTTCCACCCCCGTCGCCCCCAAATTTCAATGTTCATCAACTGGCGCATCGCGGCCGGCGGGGTCCGAAGAAAATCTCGAAGTCGCCGGCGTCGGCGTGAACATTGAAATTGGGGGACGGGGGGCGCCGCCAGGTCGCGGCACAAACTTGCGTTCAATTTCGACGAGGGTTGCCGGTGAACCCGCCGTTGGCCCAGAACTCCCAGAGCGGGAGCGACCGCGAGGATCTCTTGGATCGGCGCTGGACGCGCCGCCAGGAAGGCGCCAGCGCCGATCCAAGAGATCCGCCCGACCTCCAAAAGCTTCTGTATTTGACTGCGCCGCTTCTTCTTAATGATTAAGTTTTGTTATGCTTAGTGATATTCGTCGTATTATTCTAATTCGCACGTGTGTTCGTAGAAGTTTTCTTAGTAGCATTCCTACTCGTATTAGTATTAGTATTAGCAGTATTGTTCTTTTTGTTCGTACCAATAGTACAAGTAAGAACCGTCTTATTCGTAATCGTCATTATTATTAGCTTTATTCGTGATAAATGCGTTTTGCCATTATTGTTATCATGAATGTTCGATCCCAGGCCGACTGGCATGCCCCAACTGGCCGAAGACCTCCGAGGCCCTGCCGCGGCGGACGCGCGAGGCGCTACAGCATCGAGCCGCAGGTGCCCCGCTTCCCGCGCGGCCCGTCCACAGCGGCGTCGCGCCGCTCGCGGCTGGTGCGTGGATCTGCCCTCGGCCTTCGTCGCTCTTATCGGGAGCGGCCAAGAGGGGGGTGTCCAAGGGGGGGGGGGGGGGGGCAAATCATGGCCGGCGGCATGTGCGCGGCCCAGCGGGGGTGCCAGGGACGTCATGAAATAAGAAACGGCGCCATGAAATCTGGGGAAATAGCATGACCCCCGCCATGATATCCCCCCCCCCTAGTCATCACCCCCCTCTTTTCCGGCCCCGATCTTAGCTGGGACGGACAGAGACAAACTGTGGTTGACCAAAAGAGGGCCCCCGATGCTTTGGGAGGGGACCCAAGTCAGGAGGGCCAAAAGCGTTAGGGATAGAGGCTCTTCTCTGCAGATGCATCGAACCAAACCGCCCAGACATCTATGCATAGACGGGGACCTCAGTGAGGCCACGTCGGGGTTCGTTTATTCTCGATGACACTGAAGCTATATGTCCTCCTTGGAGGCGCGCGTCCGACCCGAACACATGGCCGATTCCGGAAAATCTGAACCCAAAACCGTTTTCATCTCTCGGAGGCGCATGTTCACTTCCGCCACCTGTCGCCCTTCCGCCAGCTTCCGCCGGCGGAAGCGGCCTCGTTGTACTTCCGCCGACCTTCCGCCGCCCTTCCGCCGCCTTCCTTCCGCCACGGAAAAGATGACAACTCCTTCGATCCTCGAAGGCAAGGCCATTTTAGGAGCGCACCATATAGTAGACCTATCTTGTAGTAGACCGTTTCCAGAGCGGTACAGCCAGAACGCGCCCGCCACGACGCATATACTAAAAGATTTCTCGGTGCGCGTCGCCCCTGGGGGGGGGGCGACGCATGCATAGTATTAGCATGTTGGGAAGGCACCGATAAAAAAACGCTGGAGGCGTTTTTACTCCGCTTTCCACCGCTTCGCTCTAGAATCGGACAAAGCGTTCTAAAACGATGGCTGGGAATATGAAGGTCAGGCAAGCGGCACGGTGATTCCTAAAAATCCGTGATCAAAACGAAACAACATTGAAAAACACAAGCGGGTGGGCAACAAGCCGATCCCGGACCCGAAACTGTAACAACAACGGCGCCCAAGCCGGAAGGGAAAAATATTCTGGCGAAGGACTCAACCATAGCTGTGAGTACCGTCGTTGAGAATATCGCCTTCAGTGGATCCCCTCATGGGGCCTCGGGTGGAGCTGCCTGTGGGGCCATGAAACGTGGGGGACATGTGAGAGGATGGGTAGGAGGAACGCATACGAACAATGGCACTGGGACATTGGGTGGAGTTCCCTGTTCGGCCATGAAGCGTGTGAGTGGTGTGCGGACATGGGTGGGGAACCGCATGCACACGTCACCACATGAGCCGTCGGTGGAGCTCCCCACGGGGGCACTAAACGTGAAAGGGGTGTACCGCAATGGATGGCGGGGACGCATGCGGGGGGTGCCGCTTAAGCCTTCGGCCGCGAAACGTGCGAGGGATGTGCCGACATGTGTGGCGGGAACGCATGCGATGGCGCAATTGGCGCGTTGGGTGGAGATCTCTATGGAGCCAGGGGCGAGTCAAAATGAGCGGCGGGGACGCATGCGGACGGAACCATTAATCGGGCAACGAAGCGTGCGAAGGCTGTACCGAACCGGGTGGCGGGGACGCATGCGGACGGCACCATTTGGGCCTTGGGTGGGGCCCCGTATGGGGCCACGAAACGTGTGAGGGGTGTGCCTAAATGGGTGGCGGGGACGCATGCGGGCGTCACCATCTGTGCAGCGGGTGGAGCTCCCTGCGGGGCCACGAAACGTGTGATGGGTGTGCCGACATGAATGTTGGGAACGCATGCGGGCAGCACCATCTGGGCCGTCGGTGGAACTCCGTCTGGGGCCACGAAACGTGTGAGGGGTGTGCCGACATGAATGGCGGGGGCGCACGCCGGCGGACCAGTGGGGCCACGAAACGTGTGAGGGGTGTGCCAAAATGTGTGGCGGGGGCGCATGTGGGCGGCACCATTTGAGCCTTGGGTGGGGCTCCCTATGTGGTCACGAAGCGTGCAAAGGGTGTGCCGAGATGTGTGGCGGGGACGCCTGCGGGTGGCACCAGTGGGGCCTTCGATGCGGCACAACTCGGGTCTTGGGTGGAGCTCCCCGTGGGGCCACGAAACGTGTGAGAGGTGTGCCGAAATCGGTGACGGGGACGCATGCGGGCGGCACCATTCGGGCCTCGGATGGATATCCCTGTGGCCACGAAAACGTGCGAGGGGTGTGCCGACGTGGGTGGCGGGGACGCGTGCGGTCGGCGCCGTGTGGGCCCTTGGGCGGAGCTCCCTCTGGGGCCACGAAGGCGTGCCGACAGGAATGGCGAAGACGCACTGCGGCAGGGGCGCCGACGAACCCCGCACCGCTCCTCGTCGCGCCGCGGGGCCGCGGGGCCACGCGCCAGCCCGCCGAGCTGCTGCATGGGGCCGGCGCTCCGCACGCGGGGCGTCGAAACTCGTCGGCCGTCGTCGGGCTCGGGCGTTGAGCGGCGCGCCAGCGGCACGGCGCGATGCACAGCGGCACGCAGGGGCCCTCCGCGCCATGGCAGATGCCAGAGCCCTCGCACCCGCAGCGCGCGGCACTGCGCGCTGCGCACGCCTGGGCGTCCGCATCGAACCGCCGCAAATGCGGCTGCGGCCCGCACTGCTGGCCCTCACCGCTCGGCCGCAGTGCGACAGTCCGTTTGCCGGAGGACTGCCTTGAAGCAGTTGTCAGCATTCCAGCCCAGGTGATCCTTCTGGCGCTCGCGCGGGCCAGAACTCCCCTGGCCGGGCTGGTGGCTGAGCGAATCGGCGCGCTCCTCGCGGGGTCGGGACCGCTGGCATGCTCTCAGCCACGTCCCGCCCGAATAGCCCCTCTCGCGGCGCACGATCCACCCGCGCGCTCGCCCCACCATGCCGCGGGGCGTCCCGACTGGGCGGCGGTCCTCGGCGGGCCATCCTCTTCCTGCGCCAGTGCTGGAGAAACCAAAGGGTACCGATACCGCTACTCCCCAGACCTCTCGCAGGGTGTGTTCTGACCAGAGTTTCGAGGCGAATCCAGCGTTGGCGACGAGGGCCTACAAAAGAGGAACACAGGCGAACGGTAGAGGTATATGTACTCTGGGCTTTTTGATATGTGTGGGGGGGGACCCCCCTCCGACGGGGGTCAACCTCGCCTCGTCGTCGCGCCGCGACTGGGGTCGGAGCGTCTTCGGCGCGCGGTGGCTGCCCGCGACGGGGTCGATGTGGGGCTGTCGGCGGGGGCGACGCACCCCCGACGCTTATCCAGAAACTCGGTGTACCTCTACCTCCTCGGAATCTCCCTGCGCGAATGCGGAGTCCGCGCGGCCTTACCTCTGGCACAAGCAGGGCGTCGCCCCAGCTGCAGTGCCACGCTCGCTGTGGCGTACAGGTGGAGGCCAGTCCACAAGAAACCCCTCCACACAAGAAGCCCAGATCCCCCAGACCCGGTGGGGAACGTCCATTGCTTCTTGGTGTGGGAACGTCATCCTTCCCATAGCAAAATTATCGAGATCTAAGAATATCAGGCTGGGCGAAAGGGGAGGATAGCAAAGGGAGGGTTGAGAATCAGCTCACGTAGCTGATTTTCCTGGCGCCTCACGGCGCCGGAGGCGGCCATGTATCGAGGAATGGGCCCCTCGGTAGGGCCGAAACCAGCTACATGCAGCACATTTCGTAACCCCCCCTTTCCCTGTCCCCCCCTTTCGTCCGGCCCGAGAATCCCAGGGCACCCTGGATCGGGAGCGGCAAAGAGGAGGGCGTCCAAGAGGGGGGGGTGCACATCATGACCGGCGGCATGTGCGCGGCCCAGCGGGGGGACCAGGGACGCAATGAAGCAAGAAGAGCCGCCAGGAAATCTGCGGAAATATCATGGCCCCCGCCAAGGTATCCACCCCCCCCTAGTCATCACCCCCCTCCTTTTCCGCCCCCGACTGGAGGCGGGCGGGGTGCTTCTTGGCACGGGCCCCCCCCTGCCAGGCGCTCCTGCGACCCCCGGGCCGCAAGGGCGCACGGCGGCGCGCGCGCGGGCGTGCCCTGCGCGCCGCCCGCGCGGGCGCGCGGGCGCGCGGGCAGCCGCATTGCCCAGCCCGCCCGAAGTGAAGGGGCCCTGGGACACACAAAGAAATACACACAAATAACAAGGTCCCCCGCATTTTCCCATAGTTTCTGGGTGTTTGATTTCTCCCCCACTTCCCATATTTTCTCATGTTTTCTGGGGAATCGAAAATGAATTGTGTCTGTGCGTGTTTTCCCCTCCTGACGAACATCGGCGGCGAGCGAGGGGGGGGGAGGGGGGAACTTCGAGGTTCTGGGTTTTTGAGCGTGTTCGTCGGTTCTCGGCGGGCTTCTAGCCTCGGGATGCTTGCCAGCGGCTGCGCCTCGCCGAGAGCGTTCTGGGGATGCCGGGATCTTCCCGAACGGCCGCCGGAGACCCGAGCTTCGGCGACGCGCCCGGGGGGGGGAGTGAAACGGAGGCGGCGGGGTTTCTCAGAAACCCTCGCACCCTTTGAGAAGATTGTGTCGTCTTCGGGAAAGGCTCCGAAAACTGCTCTGAAGGCTGGGGGACTTCCGAACCTCAAGGAAGGCCTTCCCTTTCTCACATCCCCCCCTGGGAGCACCTTTTGAGAAGATTGTGTCGTCCTCGGGAAAGGCTCCGAAAACTGCTCTGAAGGCTGGGGGACTTCCGAACCTCAGGGAAGGCCTTCTCTTTCTCACATCCCCCCCTTGGGAGCGCCGCCCGAGAGGAGCAGGAGGCCTCAGTCCTCCTCACATGCGTCGGATACAGTCGAGGCGTTGACCTAAGCAACCCTAGATAAGGAACGAGGCCCATATTTTCCATAAGTTGAACTTCGATTTCGTATCGAAACCCTAAGGAAAATCTAAGGCAAGCTGCGAAACAATTAAGGAACACGGAGCCCCTCCCCAACGAAAAGGGTTCCTTCTTCAGCGCCCCGACTGTATCCCCCTGCCGCCGCCCCTCCAAGGACGAAGGGGCCGATGATCTTCAGGGCGCGTGCCAGAGCCAGCTTGTGCTGGTCCACCGAGGCCCTTCGATACGACTAGGGCCGCGCGCGAAGGGCAGGCCGCGTGCTGTCGGTGAAGCTGAGCGGGGCACCACGCGCACACACACACACACACACACACACACACACACACACACACGCGCGCGCGCGCACGCGCGCGCACGCGCGCGCACGCACGCACGCACGCACGCACGCAAACACAGACACAGACACACACACACACACACACTCTTCTGGCGGCCGCGGCCTCGCGCGCAGCGACGAGGCCGCGGCGCCCAGGAGGAGGAGGAGGAGGAGGCGGCGCTGCCCGCCGGACGGCGCCGGCCGGAGCGCGGCCTCGATGTTGGCCGACCGGGGCAGGTTCATGAGCTCCACCTGGGAGGGAGGCGCGGCGGCCGCCGCGGAACGCCGACGCGTCGGGCCGGGGAGGCGCGGCGGTTGCCGAGTCGCCCACCCCCACCGTGCAGCTCCCCCTCCTCCTCCTTCCTCTTTTTCGTCCTCGTCCTCCTCCTCCTCCTCCCCTCCTTCTCCTCCTCCTCCTCTTCCTCCTCCTCCTCCTCCTCTTCCTCCTCCTCCTCCTCGTCCTCCTGCTCCTCCTCCTCCTCCTCCTCCTCCTCCTCCTCCTCCTCCTCCTCCTCCTCCCATTCCATTCCCGTCCTGATTCCTGGTGAGTCGATGTACTCCCAGTCGGCCACGCCGCCGGCGACTGCCACAGTACCTGGGACCTTCCATCACACCCGCCTAAACAATTCGGCATGCTAAAATGTGTTGCTCCCAACGTGGACGTTCTGCCGTCGACGATGCAAAATGCGCGGCGGGAACATGACGCGGCGCACACCGCGCGCAAACGACCCAAATGCCACTCTCGCATCGGCGCAGTTCCTCAGAACTCAATTCCTGCGTCAGCGACGCCAGCCCGGTCCCACACGCAGTGCTGCACTGGGGCCCCTCGGCGCCCCTGCTGTCGCAACGTCGGCCGCTGCGACCGACCTGCTTCGAACTGCCTCTGCGCTGTTTTGCCGCGAGCGAAAAGTACGGGGTCCTGAATATGAGCGGCAGTCCGGACCTGCCCAGATGGCGCGACGTGCCTGACGAGCTGGGACCCCAACGAGGAACTCGTGACTAGAGCGGCCGAACGCTTCACGATCCGGCCACTCGGTAGACGCGCAGACGCCCGCCGGAAAACCTGGACGGGCGCGCCGCCTGAGCTGCAGGGCTGCAAGCAGGGCCCGCGCTCCGCGCCCGGCACCACGGCGGCGACTGCGCGTCGATAGACCTCTCTGGCCACCCCTCGACGGCTCAGCGAGAGCGAAGTCCTCCCGAGTGCGCACTCGGCAAAGGCCGTTCCACCTGCGGCCGCCGTCCGCGGCCCAGCCCGCGCGCGCAACCCACGGCGAGGAACAGTCGGAAGCACCCCCTGGCAGGCTCTAACATCCAGAGATGCAGCCTCCTGGGTGCGAACACTGTTTGGGGGAGCAAGCGTGAACGCATCACCCCAAGTTCCTTATCGACAGGGCGGCACTCCGAAGGCATGTGCTCGCCAGACCCATCGCCTCGCAGACTGTCTGCACTTGGACAATCTATGTCATACTCAATGGGGGCGAAGCGTTGGCAGAATGCGCAAGGCTCTCGAGAATGACACCTTGAGCCGCCATTCTGCGGAGTTGGTGGTCGTCATCACTGCAGCTGACTGGGGCACGACATGGCGGGCCCCCGCGCGCCGCCCCCGACCCTGTGCTTCCCTGCTGCTCTCGACCAGAGAAACAAGCAATCAGAAGGACACGCTCGGCGACAGCGCACACTGGAATGAACGCGACGACGGCGGGAAGGAGCACGGGGCAAACGAAGCGGCGACACGTGCACGGGAAGAGGACGGTGAGAAAGACGAGGAGGCAGGTAGAGGAGTGAGTTTGTGTTGGCGCTCCCATGGCGAAGCGCAGAGGTGTCAAGTCCACGCGAAAGCCGCCGCGAACGCACAGCCGCAAGCGATGCTCCACATACAAAACAAGCTGTACCCCAGATTCCGTGATAAAAGGGAGGGGGTCTCGACCCTCCAAGACAAGCCATTTCAGACCTCCCCCGTGGGAGAACCCTCCAAAACGTCGTCCCCAGACCCCCCAGGCCCTCCAAGATAGCCTGGAAGAGACCCCCCCCGAAATGAGACCCCCCTCCCTCTATTACGAAATCTGGAGCACGCGTTCGCCGAGACAGCCCCGAAGCGTCGCGCGCAGACACCTGCTGACAGCAAGGTGGGGCGTGACCAACGCGAAGGGGAGAGTGAGCAACGCAGCCGCCAGAGAACGGCGGCCACGCCCGGCGGCTGCTTGAAAGCCTGGCAGAAGCCAGAAGAAACAACGCACCGGCCAGAAGGGGGAGGAGGAGGAGGAGGAGGAGGAGGAGGAGGAGGAGGAGGAGGAGGAGGAGGAGGAGGAGGAGGAGGGAGGAGGAGGAGGGATGAGGAGGAGGAGGAGGAGGAGGAGGAGAGAGGAGGAGGAGGAGGAGGGGAGGGAGAGAGGAGTAGGAGTAGGAGGAGGAGGAGGAGGAGGAGGAGGAGGAGGAGGAGGAGGAGGAGTAGGGGAGGAGGCGGAGGAGGAGGAGGAGGAGGAGCAGGAGGCGGAGGAGGAGGGGGAGGGGGAGCAGGAGGACGAGGAAAGGGGGGCGAATAGAGAGAGAGAGAGAAAAGATATAAGCCTGATGACTAGTGGCGCAGAGGCACGCGCAAGGGCGTCGGCCCCAAACATCACGGAACGATGCGCTGCAACCGCTGCAAAGAGCATCAGAAACGCAGCGTTTCGAACGCGGGCGCGCAGCCGACGCTACAAAGCAATGCGGAAATGCTTGTTCAAGAGAAGAAGCTTCCGAATCCAACAAATGATCACTCTGCTAGCTCGCCTGCCTGCCTACTGGGATGTCTTTGCAGAAGGCCCTGACAAAAGATTCCTCAATGAAGACTCTGAAATACGGATTTTCTTACGCTGGGACCCTGTCCCAGGATGCCTCAGTAAGGAGCCCTGACTGAGGATTCCTGGATAAGGAATATGACTAAGGATCCCCTTACGAAGGATGCCTTGCTGAGAAGGGAGTCTTGACAAAGGATTCCTCAGCAAAACATACTCACTCAGGATCCGCACTAAAGATGCTGTAGTAAAGACAACTTAGTCGGCTTCTTTCTGGATTCCGAAAGGAGGTTTCCTTACTAAGGATTTCTTGCTGACCAATCTTAGCTAAAAATACCTCACCACAGGTTCTTTCGAAAGGACTCCTCGCTCACGGCCCTTGAGCAAGGATTCGTCCGCAAGATTTCCTTAAGAAGGATTCCTGGATTCTTTACGCATGATTCCTTCTGAACATTCCTGACTGAAAATGGATTGTTCTGGACCCCTGTGCAATGGTTCCGTATGGACGACTCCTGATCAAAGACTTCGCACTCAAGATTCCACTGGAAAAACTTATTGTGAAGGATTCCTTGCTTCCGTGGTGACCACACCTTGTTTGGGTATGGATCCTCAACGGCACCACTAGCATTCGGTCGGGCATGTTCCCCTACAGGGGGATTTTGGGCGAAAAATGAACCATACACGAGAAATACGCACAAACACGCACAAACATAGTGGAAAAATCATCCCCTGACAATTGTTTTAGTGTTTTTGGATATTCCCCCTGTAGAGGGACAGGCTCGACTTAACACGAGCAGTGCTTAGAGCACAAAACACGCTATCACGGCAGGGTGGGGGGCGCCGCGTCGTGGGGGGGGGGATGCAGTTGACGGGCCGCAGTCCGGGCTTCTACCTGGACAGCGAACCACCGTGGGCACGGAGGCGAGAAATCACCCGGTGGCCCACACTGCCCAAACGATCTGCGTGGCCACCTCAAGTCCAACGCCCTCGTGCCACAAAGGAAATTGCTACGCAGATCGCCGACGGGGACAAGAAGGTGGCCGCATTCTTCGACGTCCGGCAGTCCTCTATAGACACCCCCAAGACTCGAAGTACGACTTCCAGGCTGTTCCGACGCGACGCCGTGAAACGTGGAAGCGCCGTTCAAGTGCGAAGATTGGACAGCGGAGTGGTTCGGCCAGCTCGCAAGGGTCGACACCCCGCCAATGGCACAGCACCATCCGTGGCCCGTTGCCCAATTGAGGCGGCATTTGGTTTGTGCACAGCTATTTTGCTGGCCCAAACGCGACTTGGGCAATCCGATAAGTCCGACGCAGGGTAACAGCTGCATTTCCCCACTTACCCGATGCCGCCCACGCGACCGCGCAATCAAAAACCGACCCCACCGACAGCGAAAGCAAAACCGACCACCGCCGACAGGCCGCAGGCAGCCCAGGAGAGCGCGGCGACGCAGCCACGGCACTGACGGCCGACTTGCGACGCAGCCGAGCAAACCGAAACGCGGACACCCTTGTGGGTCTCCCCGATGTCACGAGATGAGGCCGCCCACCTTCTCCGCCTCCTCCGTCTCCTCCTCCTCCTCCTCCTCCTCCTTCTCCTGCTCCTCCTCCTCACCCTCCTACTTCCTCCTCCTCCTCCTCTTCCTCCTCCTCCTCTTCTTCTTAGTCTTATTATTATTATTATGAGTATTAGTTTCCGTCTTCTTATTAGTATCAGAATGAGGGGCCGAACGGTCATTCATTGTCCCTAGGTGCGTGTCTGAAGTGAGAATCCGTGGTGAGGATTATGTTTGGTGCGTTGTTGCTGTTGCTGTTGCTGTTGCTGTTGTTGTTGGTGGTGTTGGTGTTGTTGTTGTTGCTGTTGTTGTTATTGTTGTTGGTGTTGTTGTTTTGGTTGTTGTTGTTGTCGGTTGTCGTCGTCCCCCCCGCGACCCCCCCGCGGCCCCCCCGCGACCTGCTCCGCGACCCACCCCGCGACCCACCCCGCGACCCACCCAGCGGCCCACTCCGCGACCAACCCCCGACCCACCCGCGACCCACCCACCCCGCGACCCACCCCGCGACCCACCCCGCGACCCACCCGCGACCCACCCGCGACCCACTTGCGACCCTCCCGCGACCCACCCCGCGACCCACCCCGCGACCCACCCCGCGACCCACCCGCGACCCACCCGCGACCCACCCGCGACCGAGCCACATTGGTTTGAAGGAAAAATCGGCGCCCTCGGCGGGCTTGTTGCATAATTTGTGAAACTTTGGCGCCTGCGGCGGGCTTCGCCAGAGTCTCGCAGACTGCCGAGGCCCCCACCGCCCCCTCACTCTTATCCGCATCTGCGGGGCACTACGATACTCATTAGTATTGGTATTATTACTATTAGTATGATTAGTACTCTTAGGATTCGCATTCTTATTATTGGTATGATTAGAATCATTACTGTTCTCGGTAATACTACTATTCTGATTAGTAGGATTAGTAGGATTTGTATTATCATTGGTCTGTTTCTCACTATTGATACTAATCCTCCTCCTCCTCCTCCTCCTCCTCCTCCTCCTCCTCCTCAGCCTGCGGAGCGCACCAGGGGCGGCGCCGGAGGCGCCGCCGGGTAGGCTCAGCGCGGATGCAAGAAGTCCGCGCGGAGCGCCAAAAGTTTACTTTTGTGGCGCTGCGTCTCCTTCGAGCAGTGCGCCCAAGCACAGCCGAAACACGAATCGGGCACGGACGACTGTCCGAGCTGCTTCTCGTCTGGGTCGCTGGCAGTGGCCCAGCGGCCTCGACGGGCGGCGGCGCCGACGTGCGCGCCGGGAATGTACCTGTTAGTCGCCCACTTTCCATGCTCCTCCTCCTCCTTCTCCTCCTCCTCCTCCTCCCAGTTTGATGCTGCGACCCCTCCCGTGAGCCTTTCTCAATCGCTCGGTCGCATTATGCCAAGCTCTCCGGCATACGCCCCAGGCCGAAGCGGGGGTCCCCGCTGCACGATCGGTCAGCACGGAGTTGGGGCAGTGGATCGAATCCAAAGGTGCGTCGGATCGGGCTGCATCGGCACAGAGCCAAACTTGCATCGGATCGGCCGCGCCAGGATGCACAGCAGCGCCATGCAAGTCCGAATCTCAACGCCCGCCACCCATCGAGTTGCCCGAATCGTGGATCGGCGAGGGCAGGGTTCAGATTGCGTCACCAAATCGAGCCGACCAGGATTGATATCAAATCGGATCGATGTTGATAGAGGCCTCCTAGATGGGGTCCCAGTAGATGGGGTCGGAGGATCGCGCCGCATCGCCGATACATCGGCGATGCATCGGCGATGCATCGTCGACGTGGGCGATGCATTGGCGACGCTGGTGCGGAGAAAATCGGGCTCCGCATCGCACCTCATCGCCGATGCATCGGCGATGCGGCACGATGCTCCGACCCCATCTATTCGGGCCCCATCTTGGAGGCCTAGAAGATTGCGCCACCGAATCGAGCAGGCCAGGATCGATGACGGATCGGATCGATGTGAGCCCTGCAGTGCTCCTCTCGGGGGCGTCCAAGAGGGGGGGCACAAATCATGGCCAGCGGCATGTGCGCGGCCCAAGGGGGGGGGGCCAGGGACGTATCAGGATAAGAAGAGGCGCAATAAAATGTGCGGAGATATCATGGCCCCCGCCCAGATGTCCCCCCTAGTCTTAGGTCGGGCATGTCCTCCCACGGGCGGATCTCGGACGAAGAATACAGATAGGCCAAAACATGTTCAGACAAAATCAAAACTCGTGAACAAGTCGCCCCCGCGGATATAGTGGTTGACCACTTTGGAATTCTCCTCCTATAAGGGGACATGCCCGACTGAACCCTGCGTGGTCGTCCCACCCCCCCTCTGGGGATTCTCTGCCCCGGGCCAATATCAAGACCCGGGCCCGCCTCGCGGCCGCGAGCGGCTCGCTCACCCGGGCCAGCCGGAGGGGGCCTTCGCAGGATCCTGCAGGATCTGGTGCCCTGGCTGACCCCCGTTTGCATCGACCCCCGCCTCGAGGCTCCCGACCTGGCCGCCCCCGAGCCACTGCTCCTCTCATGGCCGCCCCCGACCCGACCTGGCCGCCGAGCCGCCCCCGAGCCGCCCCCGACCCGACCTGGCCGCCTCCGAGCCTGCGCAGTCGTCACCCCCCTCTCTTGGCCGCCCCCGAGCCGGTGCTCCTCGCTCGCCCCGCCTCCGCCTCCCCGCGGGCGGGGCCGCCCCGCTGGGCTTCAGGAGCCGCTCGCACTCGAAGCGGCCGAAGCCCGCGGAGATCGCCTGCGGGGCGCGCGGGGGGGGGTGCTGCGGGGGGCCGGCCGGCGGGCCGGCCCCCCCGAGGGGCCGAGGGCCCGAGGAGAGCGCTCGGCGTGTCTCCACCCGCCTCTTCCTCGTCCTCGCTCTCCTCGCCCTCGTGCTCCTCCTCGTCCTCCTGCTCCTCCTCGTCCCCTGCTCCCCCCTCTTGCTCGCCCTCCGCGCCCTCTTGCCCCGTGGGCCCATGGGGGGCCGGCCGGCAGGGGAGCCCCCCGGGGGCCCCAGGACTCCAGGAGACCTGTAAACAAAAGCCGGGAGGCCTGGCGCGGCAGCTTGAGATCCCAGGTGCGTCGGATTCACGCCAGATTTACGTCGGGTCCACGTCGCATTGCGTCGGCACTGCTTCGGATGTACGTCGGACTGACGCCAGAGCATCGCCGCGCGAACGTCGACCCATGGCTTACGCAACCGACGTGTGGACTAGAAAATACAACTCTTGCGCGCCGCGCGAGATCTCCAGGATTTCTCCTTCTGAGGAGGTCTCTTGTCGTTTCTTCGCCCACCTGTTTCTCGCCCTCCTTGTCCTCGAGCCCCTCCTCGTCCTCGTGCTCCCCCTCTTGCTCATCCTCCTCGTCCTCCTTGCCCTCCTCCACCTCCTCCTCACCCGTCCTCCGCTGCTCCTGGGCGTCCCGCTCGCCATGCCGAGAAACCGTGGCTCTGTCTTCGGAGAACGCTCGGAAAACTTATCGGAAGGCCCGAGGCCTTGCTGAGACGGGCCGCCTCGGCAGCCCCCCCTAAGCTCGCCGCCGACGTTGTCTCAACTCGCCCTCATCTGATCATCATTGGGAAAGTGGTAGGGGGGCGCTGAGCGAACGGGGCAGGGCCACGACAAGACGGGGCGTGGCAAGCGGCGCATGCACCTCCAAAACAACCCTCCTCTTCCTCCTCCTCCTCCTCCTCCTCCTCCTCCTCCTCCTCCTCCTCCTCCTCCTCCTCCTCCTCCTCCCTCCTCCTCCTCCTCCTCCTCCTCCTCCTCCCTCCTCCTCCTCCTCCTCCTCCTCCTCCTCCTCCTCCTCCTCCTCCTCCTCCTCCTCCTCCTCCTCGTCCTCCTCCTCCTCCTCCTCCTCCTCCTCCTCCTCGTCCTCCTCTTCCTCCTCCTCCTCCTCCTCCTCCCTCCTCCTCCTCCTCCTCCTCCCCTCCTCCTCCTCCTCCTCCTCCTCGTCCCTCCCCCTCCTCCTCCTCCTCCTCTTCCTCCTTCCTCCTCTCCTCCTTTTCCTCCTCCTCCTCCTCCTCCTCCTCCTCCTCCTCCACCTACCCGTCCCCGTCCTCCTGCTCTCCCACTCCTGCTCCTGCTGATGCTCCTCCTCCTCCTCCTCCTCCTCCTGCTCCTCCTGCGCACCACCTGGCGGCCAACAGAGTCTGTCAGCCACCAGCCAAAAAAAGACAATGCGTGGCCAGAGGTGCACTTTGCAACCACCACTGGCCACGCGACTCGCGCATGGCCAGAATTCCGATGCACGAGCAGGCACACCTCTCAAAGGCGCACCTGCGAATCCACTCGATGCACCTCGGGATTGAGCCTTTGACGAGGCGACGCAAGGTTTTCCTGCCAAGATCCGTCGCATGTGGAGGACAGGGCAAGCCGAGAGATGCGACGCGAACAGCAGCAAAGTTCGCGCAGCACAAACAGCCCACACGACAGGACCGTCGTGGAGCGAGATCCGGACTAAAGAGCGCTGGCGCCCCCTGCTCCTATGGCGCGCTGCGCGGCCAGCACGCGAGACACGACGTCGGAGGGGGCAGGGTCGCGCACAAGAATGAGCTGCGTCTGCGGCGGCTTTCCTTTGAAGTGCTTGGGCGGACGCCCGCAGTCAGACAGGCCTTTCCCCAACCGACCCACCCAAGCGCCCCAGGACTTCACAACTTTGAGCCTCGCGCGCAGCTGCTGCCTGTCAGCAAGAGCAAGCCGAGAAGCACCAGCTGCAGCGCGAGCGACCTGATCGGCCAGCAGGCTGCCGAAACGGTGCCTGGGCGAGACCCTGCCCAGCTGAACGTCAGCAAGAGTGGAGCGCGACTTGATCTTGACCAGTTCAAGCGCACCCCATTCATCATAAAGCCGCCAGAACTCCCACCAGAGGTTCCCTCCAGACGAGACGCACGAGGTCGCGGAAACTCTGCCACGCACATGAAAACCTTCACACACGCACTGCGCGTCTGCGAAGACTCGAATCGGAGGCGCCGCGAATTTCAACACGTTGATCACTGCCAAGAGCTCGGCAGCGCTGACGCACTGCAAGGGGCCCAGAGCAGGCCCAAACACGCCTGCAACCACGAGCGGGCGGACGGGGTCGAGAGCGACACCCCCCAGCCAGCAGACGCCAGGGAGGCAAAGTCGGATTCAGACCGTGCTGTCAACGAAGATATCTCCTGAAAAAAAGGCCAGGGTCGCCGCGGCCCCAGGCGGCTTCCACCCCCGGGAGCGGCCGAGCCAAGGCCAGCATAGGCGCGAGGCACCTCTCCGCGAGGATCGCGGGAAGAGGCGAGCCGACAGCAGCATCGGCGAAGCGCGCTCGAAAAGGGGGGGGGGGGGTCGTCCAACTCCCCCAGCCACGAGCAGCTACAGCGACGGTGCAAGAGCGCACCTTCTTGACCAGGGCAGAGGAGGCAGCGAGGCGAGGTGGGGCATCCCGCGGCCCACCGGCGCTTCTGGGGCCACTGGCCCCCGACAGTGGTGGATCTAAGGTGCGCTCTCTGCACGGCTGGCATACCAGAGCATAGCAATGACTTGAGAGGCTGTAACAGAATCCCGCGCTCGAGCTCCGGCCCCTCGAGGCACCCAGCTGCTTACTGGAACTGACGCATCTCAATCGCACGATAAAGGAGGCCCTGGATCGTCACGGGGCAGTAGTCGCCGGGGTTGACGACGGCCCCGTCGGGTCAGATCCAGGCAGCGACTGAGGCGGCAGCAACGCCCACGCGCCTCAGGGAGGCCCACGGGGAACAGAAGGGGCTTTTGATGGAGGACCAGGGGCGGGCCAACCCAGACAAGTGAGCGCGGGCCTCACGGACGCCGAAATCGAGAACCTGAAGAGGCAACCAGATCCCTGAGAGGGCCTGCAGGTAGGACTTGACGGGCAACCAAGTTGCTCGAAAGACGGGGTCCAACTGGGCCACAGGGGAGAGGAAGAAGGCCAGACTGCGCGACTTACCATATTGCCGATGGCATTGCAATTTACCAGCCGAACCTCGAGGTGACTCTACCTCCTGCCCGCTAGTTCCCATGACCGAAGACCCATACAACACAGATGACTCAAGAGCACTCCGAGCCATGCGCCCGAGCACGCGGCGACGAGATTTAGAGCCCTTCAGGATGGACATACGCCGGCGCTTGAGGCGCATCGCCTTGACACGGCTGGCGGCCGCGGACTTGCCCCCAACGAGCCCAGAGGCAAAATCAACGCCTAAGTTGCGCTGAGACCAGACAGGCAGGGGTCGGAGGCTCTTTATCTTGGAACCAATAAGATTACGAACCGACGGCGCGTTCCCGAGCACTCGGGACTTGTCGGCAGCAAACTTGAGATCGATTGCCAGAAGCTCGCTGCGGCGCTTCTTGCCAGCAGCGACGACATCCGGCACAACACGCGACTCCGCGCCTAAACGCACGCGGCCTAAGTCGTCGACATTGATCGAAAGCTGCACCGTCGGGGCCGAGGCCCGCACGGCCTAGCGGACCTAACAGCACGAGTTGCAACATACGCGCGGCGAACGCACCTCCCGGCACAACGGTTTGCTCGACATCCAGCAAGGAACCAACCTCAGCAGCAACATCGAGCAGCCCAGGGGCCGCGTAGATCTGCACCAGGAGATGAAATTGCCACGTCGGGGAACCAGTGGCCTGGGCCTGGGCGGCCCTGATAAGATGGCAAGTGCTGGACCAACTCAAAGGCCTCGTTGAAATCAAGAAGCAACATCGCACAAATACGGTTCTTATAAGTCGAATGCCCCGACCAGGCAGCCCGGATCCAAACGCATTTGTTCCGAGGACTTCCCATGAGTGGACCAGAAAAAAAGACCGATAGCTACGGGTCTACCACTGGCGAATGAGAGGGCGTCCCAGGCGACATTAGACACGAGCCAACACCTGATGGACCCTGCAACCCGTTTACGGATGAAGACGAGGCGACCCCACGCGATAGGCCATTCCCTCTCGCGCCCAGTGCGCGAGATGATGCCACATAGAGCCTCCAACGCAGCAGGAGGCAGCAACAGCAGCGAGCGAGGGGGGCACCTGATCGAAGCCAGCGCCCGCGCCTCGCCTGAACAACCTGAGAGCCCGCACATGCCCAGCTCGGGAGGGCCAAATGGGGGCTCGCCAAAGGCAGGCCAAACCAAGGGGGCTTTCTCGGACCCAACGGACCACCAGTGTTTCCACTCGGCTTCAAGCGCATCGATCGACTCGGTCGAAGGACAAGGTCAGAGGACGGGGTGATCGAGGGAGTCAGGTTGCCAACCGATTGGGAGGGAGGAGAACGTGAAGAGTGCCTACATCCCCCCGACGAGCGTTTGCCAACCCACATTTTCCAACCCTTGCGCTTGGCCTTGGCAGCCTCGGCCTGCACGCGCTCGGCCCCCGCGTCGGCTAGGCTGGCCAGCGCCTGCGCCGAGAGCAGCGGCGCCGGATCCACCTGCCGCAGCACGGCCGCCCAAGCAGCGTAGGCCGCGCTGTCGGGCAGACGGTGGAAATCTGACAAGCGGCGGGCAGCGGACACGAGCTGCCGCCTGCGGGCACCCACAGGGCCACGGGCAAAGTCGGAGAGCAAGACGCTGACCTTGCGCCGCCAACGCGCCAGGGGGGAAAGCCTGGGGGGCCTCGGGCGCCCAAAGCACGGAGGCTTCTTAGAAGATATCTTGAGAGGCTTATCGCGCCCCAAACACTGGTCAGCTTGCTCCCCCGTAATCTGAAAAACGCAAAACCACTCGGCTTCCGCCGCTCGGAGAACTCAATCCACTCGGCCTGAAGAGGCGCAGAGGGGTCAGAGCGGAGGGCAACAACAGGACCCCACCGACCGTCAACAGGGGGCCCAACGCAGCCAATGGGGAGCTCCTGGGGAAACCTTCCGGGGACCGCGACGTAGCTCATGTCGCACACGGGCTCAACAATCGGAAACGTGAGCCGAACAGCGCAGTGAGGAAGATGGGGGCACTGTGGACGATTTCAGCCCTGGCCCCACCTGCGATAGCTCTAGACACGACAAAGTGATCGATGCACCGCATGGCTGGGCGACACGCGCCGCCGTCAGGCGCGATGACTTCCGCGTCCATCGCATCGACCCAGCCCGTCTTGACCAGGTCGGAGCGCGGGAGGCGCCAGTCGCCACCGACGACGAAGGGCGTGCCCGCGCACTTGAGCTGAGAGCCCTCACAGCACAGGATGTCCCAGTTCGGCTCATTCACCCCAACCGGATGCACCAGGTAGATGTTGACAACAAGGAAGCCACCGCGAACCATGCCACCGACATGATGAAGGCTCGCACGAGCAGGCTGCAGAACGTGAGGCAGCGTGTCTTGGGAGCCCAAGCGGATACGCTTCGGGGCGGCGGCGAGGAGGCCCCCCGCAGGGTTGCCGAGCGCCGGCAGCGCAGCCGTGAGAGAGGCAGACCAGCCGATGCCACGAAGTCGGGCCTCAGTCGACTCAGCCGAGGTCGCGAGAATTCTGGCCTCTTGCACCAGCAACACGTCAGCGGCAATGCGCTCACTCAGATAGGCATCGAGGCTGACCTGGCCTCCAACATTGTCCGTTATAATCGACCAGACCTGGTCGCGCCGCGAGCCAGGAGCAAGGCGCTCCTGGATCCGAGGCCGAGCTCGGGCTGAAGGGTGCGATGCGAAACTTCTTTTGGGCGGCATCATTGATGCCGCCCATGAAATTATCGGCGCGATTGCGCGAGATGCCGTGCTTCGTGAGGAAGGCGCCCCAGGCCTTATCCGTCGTGAGCTGCTCAAGGAAAAATTTAAAACCCGCGCGGCAGGCGGATCGCCAACGCCGGCGGCCGACCCCTTCCCGCCCCACCCCCGCCCCAACGCCGAGCCCTTCCCCCCGCTGGAGAGCGAGGCAGCAGGCAAGCCGCTAGCGGCAAAGGGGGACTCAGCAGGCGGGCCTCCGAACACAGCAAGTGCGGCAGCGTTAACGTCACGTACATCCGCAGAAGGGGCGGCGACGATGGTGGTACCAGGGGGAGCATCGGCCACGGCAGCTCCGTCGTCTCCGTCTTCGCCTCCTTCGGAATCGTAGCCATCAGATTCAGGATCTTCAGGTGCAAGCAAAGTGCCACGAGTCTCCAGCAACGAGCGCAGCGACTCCGCCAACGCGGGGTCGAGCGTCTGGAACTGCATGAGTAAGGGGAACGCGGGGTCGTCGGGAGACACCGCTTTGCCGTCGCGGGAAGCGGCGACACCACCAGAGGCGCACTGCGCCCAAGCCGCTGTGGCTTTAGCAGAGGCGACTCGCTCCTGCTCCCCCAGCGACTCCAAAGAAGAGCGGAGCTTGACCAGCTCCATAACCTTGCTCTGGAGGTCGGATTCGGCTTTGTTGATCTGCTTGGGCGTCTGGGAGATCTGACGCTTGAGATCATCCAGCGCTTCTTGGACATGCTTCTGCACAGCACGAGGATCAGCAGCAGCCAGTGCACGCTCCGCCACAATGCGAGCCCGCTGCGACGGAGATAGCAGGCCCTTGCACGCGACGAAGTCGTCGTTGGTCATGCGCACAAGCCTGGCCAAATGATCAGGCTCGAGCAGTTTGTGCTTCGGTGCCGGCTTGCCAAAAGACGTGCCGTTTGCCCAGTCTCCTTGGGCACCTCGAGGCTGAGAGACCGCAGGAGCAGCAGGGCGAGCAGTACCACACTTGTAGCAAGACTTCTTCCAAGAGAAACCCGTTTTGAAACCACACTTCTTTTTCGGGCAACACCACACCTCATTGCGAGCCCCTTCGCGCTCGCCCATGAATGTGATGCGTTCGTAGAATGGAAACCTGCTAGGCCAGGGAGGCTCGAGCAGGGATCGTGAGGGCGCCAAAGGAAAAAGCACCTTGAGAAATGGATTGCTTGAGCCAAAATGGTTACGGATCTCCTCCTCCTCCTCCTCCTCCTCCTCCTCCTCCTCCTCCTCCTCCTCCTCCTCCTCCTCCCCCTCCCTCGTCCTCCTCCTCCTCCTCCTCCTCCTCCTCCTCCTCCTCCTCCCCCTCCTCCTCCCCCTCCCAATCCTCCTGCTCCTCCCTCCTCCTCCTCCTCCTCCTCCTCCTCCTCCTCCTCCTCCTCCTCCTCCTCCTCCTCCTCCTCCTGCTCCTTCGAGGCCCCGCGCCCCGTGCGTGCGGGCGGGCCGTGAAGAGGAGCTCGCCCTCGAGGTGCTCGAAGTAGTTACACTGCCGCAGAAGGGGGCGCGCTCGGGACATGCGGAGACCCAAAGGTCGGCGGGCAGCGGGCGGGACCCTCAGGCCCGGGCGCTGCACAGAAGAACGTGACGGTCGGGCGTTCCGTCGATCTCGGCCTCTGGAGACCGCTCCCCGGCCCCGGGACCGTCGACAGAAAACGCCCCCGGGGGGGAGAGACTGGCCCAAGGGAAGTGGTCGGAATCCCCGGGGGCGACGTCACGAACGAAACGCAGCGCCGCAGGCGAGGGGGGCACGATCGGTTTGACCTGTTTGACTACCTACCAGACCACCCCAACCCAACCCGAAGACCCGAATTTGACCCGAATTTCGAGTTGGGGGGGGTACGGGCTCCATATGTCTTTTTCCAATGTTCCCCGACCCCCCCCCCCCACTGGAAATGGAAGGCAAATTGATGCCTTCGGGTTGGGTTGGGGTGGTTTGGTGAGCGGTTTTGCCCTGTTGGGCAACGGATGGCGGGAGCCGTGGCTCCGTGGCCGAGGCTCCGGACGGGTGAGCAGAGCGGCCGAGGGCCGAATGAGGCGAGGGAGGGCGGCAACGACGGGGGGGGAGAAGGGAGGAAGGGCCGAGAGAAAGCGAGAAAGTGGGACAGAGGAATATAAGCATAACATAAACAACACAACTATACTATCTATATAAATATATAAATAATATGGACATTATACACACGTGTGTGAATGCGTATACGTGTGTAAGATACAAGAAGACGTGTGATACACACGAAGAAAGGAGGGCAGCACCCGCGCTTGGGCACAAAAACCAGAACTGTGTGCAACCTCTGGGATGCAGCCCACGAGGGTGGGACCACCACCAGGGACACTACAGCAAGGGGACCTACATACAGCAACACACATGCATATGATAGGGGGGCGGCATTGTCTGACCGCATGCAGAGGAATCCTTCGGAAGCCCATCATACCTACTCCCCCGCAATCCACTCAGGGTGAGAGACAGAGAAGGGTGAGCAAGAAGTGAGTGTGTGCGTGCTCATCCCCAGTGTCCGTCCCCAGCGTCCATCCAAAATATCCATCCCAAGTGTCTATCCCCATCGTCAATCCCCAGTGTCCATCCCCAGCGTCCATTTCCAATGTCCGTTCAATTCACCCCGAATTCCCATCCTGGAAGTGGACTATCCTGAGTCACGAACGTACGGCCAGGAAAAAGACAGCCCCGTTCGGGTGAAACCCCCATCCATTATGGCCTGAAAGCAAGCGGTATGAAGGTTGTCGCATCACCTGCCTAAGCAATACTTGGGGCTCCTCTGACAATCCTAACAAAGCCTTCGGACATCCTGAAAACTACGTAGTCCTCAAGACCGCCAGCGCGCCCATCTACCGCACACAGAACTGCGACAGATTGCATACGATTGTTGAACAAACCTCAAAGGGAGCGCCACGCACTCTCAGAGCGCTCCGGGCACGCAAGGGAAAACGCTCTCAGAGCGCGCTGCGGCCTTCTCAGAGAGCTCTGGCACGCTCTGAGAGAGTCCCCGAGCGCGCTGGAATGGATTTCTCGTCCTGGCCCCGTGCGGTCGTGCCCCTCCCGCCGCCTTCAGTATGGAGAGCAGCACCCGCGGCTTGGACGTGGGCTCCGCCATCCCTGCCCGGAGCCCGCGCCGGAGCTCGCTCGGCCCGGCAGGGAGAGGGGGGGGGGCCCCCGGCATCGAAGACGGGCAGGGGCGGGGCGAGGCAGGGTCGGACTCTGATGGGCGTGTTTTCCACCACCACCACCACCACCACCATAAGTTGGAGGGGAGGGGTCCTCCTCCTCTTCTTCCTCCTCCTCCTCCTCCTCTTCCTCCTCCTCCTCCTCCTCCTCCTCCTCTTGTCCTCCTCCTCCTCTTCCTCCTCCTTCCCCCGTCCGACTCATGGTGGTGATGGAAAACACGCCCATCAGGTTCGGTCGGGGGCGAGGGAGGGCAAAGCAGGGGGGGGAGAACAAGCTGGAATCGAGACGCTGGGAAAAAAAATAACGCGTTGGGCCCAGGAGTGGCTCGGGCTCTCGGGCCTCCTCCTCCTCCTCCTCCCTTCTCCTCCTCCTCCTCCTCCTCCTCCTCCTCCTCCTCCTCCTCCTCGTCGTCCTCCTCGTCCTCCTCCTCCTCCTCCTCCTCCTCTTCCTCCTCAGTGGCCAAGTTCTTAGCCAGGCTGTCGGCCCCAAGTGGCAGCAGGCGCCGCGCCACGGACAGCTGCGGCGGGCCAAGCGACGGGGGCCGACGCCAGCCCTCACGGCGGACACGGAGCCGCCCCCCGATGCCCACTTGCCCGTGCCGTCCCCCACGGGCTTCAGGTGCGCCAGGTGCTTCCGCGTCGCTCGGCAACGGGACGCCTTCATCCCAGCCGTGTGCGCCCCTGGAGGGGCCACCGCGTCTGGCACGTGGGCCAGCTCGTTTTCTGCGCCCGCTGTGGTGCGCACTCCAGCGAGAATGCGCAGCTCCTGGCGCTCCCTTGCCACGGTGGAGTGCCCCCCAAGACGCGCACTCGTTTAGACCGTCTCTGGGAGGGCCTGCACCCTCGTACTGGGCAGCCGCTGCTGTCGTCTGTGCAGGGACAGCTGAGGCCTCGCACATTCGGCGAATATGTCCTCGACGCCACCTACGGGGGCCTGGTCGTGGTCGAGGACGATTGCGCTAAGTTGGGCTAGCCTCCTGTCCCTTCCTCGTGCGGCACCCCTTTGAGGGATGTGCCCGAGGCTTTACTTGTCAGGCTCTCGCCTGAGTCTGTCTGCGAAGCCAGCCCCGCTTGCACGCTTTCAGCCGTGCCTGGATAAATACTCCTCCTCCTCCTCCTCCTCCTCCTCCTCCTCCTCCTCCTCCTTATCGTCCTCCTCCTCCTCCTCCTCCTCCTCCTCCTCCTCCTCCTCCTCCTCCTCCCTTCCTGCCGTGAGACCTGCTCGTGGCCTGGGCCCACCGTGGCCAGAAAAAAAGCCCCGCCCCTTCCCCTGTGGTGCGTTCCTCGTGGTAGCACGACGACGGAGGGCGCGCTCGAGCAACAGTGCTGCTGACGTCTCTGTCCGCCGACGCGCCTCATGGCGGCCCTGGGAGGACCCCAAGGAGGACCTCATCGGGCTGTGCACAGGCGGAAGAGGGGAGCGCGTATGTTGCAGGAGGAGGGGCACGACAGAGCAGACCAAAGACGCGCAGACGATGCTGCCATACACCCTCCCGTCCCAAGTCCCCTCCTCACATGCCCCTGCAAGTCCTCACTACAATAATCGCCCCCCATGAAGGACCAACACGATTGGGCCTGCCGGTTTGGCAAGGGCCCCGCTTTGAGCAGGTATTGCCTTGCATCTTCTGCCAGACCTATGACATCAACACATCCTTCAAGAAGAATATGAGACCCTCCGCTGGCTAAAACATACATACCATTCTAGGGTACCCCCGAGGATGCACAAGAACATCCAACAAACACGAATAATATTACGGTACCCTCCCCGACCGATCTGATACTTCGGTCCGACCGCAATCAGGAACGCGAGAAACAAACATCGAATTCAAACAGGTGTTCGACCAGATTCCTCTTTGCCAAAAAGGACGCACCCCCCCAGTCCGTGTGAGTCTTGCACAAACGTATAGCTGCTGCCACACACGCCGAGTCTGAGTAAGTTTGTCAAGTGACAACTCCATTCTTACAAAGGACCACTATCGATTCGTGCATCGCCACGTGCGCTGAAGGTCGGGACCTTCATGCATAACGAAGCCACCAGCAAGAATTAAATGTTGGAAGAACATCAGCCCTGCTAGACGATGTATTCGAAAACGAGTGCGCGCGGTGCTGATGCGAGAGCTCAAGTTTGAGAACGACCGGCGGGTATATATAAGTTGAATATGTTGCAAGAGATTGAAACGAAGGATCGCGACGCCGAGTCGAGAGCTCCGCTAGGAAAAGGGGCCGCCCTCCATCCGCCACCCTGATGCAAATGATTGGAACACATGCGCGCGGCGATAACGAGCGCACCATTCTGAACGAACCGCTTTCCATCCCTCAAGGATGAATGTGCGCGGCAATGATGCGAGGACCACAATTTGAACACGCCCCCCCCCCCGCATCCGTGAATGTGTTGCAAACATGTAAGACGATTGCGCGCGGCGCTAAGGCGAGAGCACCACTTCGAAAACGGCCCGACGCCCATCCATGGAACTGCTGCAACAATTTGAAATGAATGCGATCGGCGCTGAAGGGATACCCACGTCTTGAAAACGAACCGCCTTCCATCCGAGAAACTCCGACAACAATTGAAACGAATGCGTGCGGGCCGAAGGCAAGAGCCACCTTTTGGAACGACCCCCTCTCATCTGTGAGGCTGTTGCAAACGTCTTGAAACGAATGTGCTCGGCGCTAATGCAAAAAAAAAAAAAAAAAAAAAAAATTTTGAAAATCCACCCGCCCTCCATCATTCAAGTGGTTGCTAACCTTGAAGACGAATGTACGCGTCGCTGCGGCGAGAGCCACATTTTGGAAACGATCCCCCTCCGTCCGTGAAGCGGTTGCAAGCCTTTTACGATGAACGTGCGCGGCGCTAAAGCGAGAGCCACATTTTGACGCCTTCCCCTCTCCATCAGCAGAAGTGTTGCAAAGCCGTCCAGCCTTTTAGGGCACGAGTTGTTTAGCGGGTGCCGTCGTCCAACCTCCCGTCTTCCCCTCTCGGCAAGGGGTTTACATCACTGCTCCGTATTTGGATTCCCAAGGACTGGCGACAAACCCAGGACCATACGGGCACCCCCCTCGGCCAACCCTGCCAAACAAACAACGCAAACATACCCACTGCGGCAACAAGATCCTAGGGCTCCCTACTCCGCGCTTCGCGCTCCGCGAAGCGCGAGAGCGCGAATGACTTCGCGCTCTCGCGCCGCCCCCCCCCCCCCCCCAAGGGAAGAGAGGCGGAAGAGGAGGGGGGGGAGAAGGAACGAGGGGACCGCGAAGCGCGAACAGCTTCGCGCCCTCGCGGGAGCCCCTGAAGACCTGCTGGGCGCCCGAGTTGTCCGGGGTAACTCGGGTCCGGGGTAACTCGGGCTCGGATTCCCGAAAAAGGAACCCCCTGCTCCTCCCCTCCTCCTCCTCCTCCTCCTCATCCTCCTCCTCCCTCCTCCTCCTCTCCTCCTCCTCCTCCCACCTCCTCCTCCTCCTCCTCCTCCTCCTCCTCCTCCTCCTCCTCCTCCTCCTCCTCCTTCTCTTCCTCCTGCTCCTCCTCCCTCCGAGGTAGCCCTGACCCGAGTCACCCCTGATGACTCGGGGCTCTGCAGACCTGGCCCGTGCGCGGGCGCCCCGCGAGCCCCCTCTGCACGCGGCCGCTGCGACTCGCGGTGTGCCGGCGCCCTGCCTCGGCCTCTGCCGGGGCGCTGCCAGCTGCTGCACACCTCCTCCTCCTCCTCCTCCTCCTCCTCCTCCTCCTCCTCCTCCTCCTCCTCCTCCTCCTCCTCCTCCTCCTCCTCCTCCTCCCTCCTCCTCCTCTTCCCTCATCCTCCTCCTCCTCCTCCTCCTCCTCCTGGCCATCGCTCGGGCGTCCATTCCCTGTGTTTTTTTTGTTTTTCGTGTGTGTGTGTGGTTTTTTTCGCCACATGATCCAGGATGCTCCTCGATGGCCCTCGCCGAAAGAGAAAGGCACACGTCCGAGCGATGCCAAGCCTCGGCGGCAGGGTCTGCACCGAATGCGCGGGCGCCGCACGATCGCGTGGCACGAGGGCTCCCAGCGTCGCGCCCTCGCGCTCTCGCGAAGCGCGAAGCGCGACTACCTGTAAGTCGGGCGCGTCCCCTTACAAGGGGATTTTCGACGAAAAATAAAAGATACCTCAAAAATATCCCCAAAAAGTCAAAAATACTCGAAAAATAGTGCCCGGACAATTTTTTTATAGCATTTTTGGACTATTTTGGGGGTATTTTTTATTTTTCGTCGAAAATCCCCCTGTAGGGGGACACGCCCGACGTAAGACTAACTTCGCGCTCTCGCGCCGCCTCCCAGGAGAGAAGAGGAGGATGAGGAGTCATCCGAGCCGAACCGCGAAGCGCGAATAACTTCGCGCCCTCGAGGGCGCCCTTGTTGCATCGGCTGTTGACTAGGACGGCGGCGGTGCCCTCCACATGCCCGCTCTGAGCAAGCCCGCCATCCCTGTCAACACGCAGTGCAAAGTACACTGCGTGACGAGAGCTGGTTCATGCGGGGGCGCCCCGCGATGGCTCTGCACGGGTGGTCGACAGACGGGGGCGGCGTGGAAGTGCCCGCACACCGTCGTGCTGCCGAAAAAAAGAGGAGCGAAGCCCTTGTTTTGCCAAGTCGAGCCATCAAGTCGAAAGAAACGGCCGAACCATTTGCTTGATGCTGTCCATCGTCGCTGCCCTTCATTTGAGACAGTGTCTGCCCCCTCTGCCGAGGCCAAAGGGCTGGGGAGGGGCACGGGCTAAAAAAAACAGAAGCGCAAACAGCGAACGCTCAGCCCAGTAACGAACACCAGGGAAAGCTCGAGACAACCCTCGACGGCCCCCTTGCCGATCGCAGAGTCAACGCCGTAATGTTCCCGGGGCCGAAGGGTAGACCGAGGGTCCAGGTAGCTAACTCGAGCTCTGGCCCCGCCTACTCCCACCCTCCCTGCCACAACATTAG